TATTGGCTTATTCCTTCTTTTTTTTCGGGGTAAGGTAGCAGCAATACCCACTCCCTGCATCCGGTTTTTGGAAGATATAAATAACAAAAACTGTACTTCAAGAGAATGCACGGGAAATGTAAAGCTACTAACCTATTACACATACATCCATTATTTCTCCCCTTTACTGTCCTGTGGTTCATCTACTCCAGCCTGCATCATTAGCTCAGCGATGTTCTTCTCAAGATCGTCAATACGTGTACCCATTTCATCTAGTGAAGCTTAGGTTAAGGAAGGTTTTGACCTCACTGATTAGTATGTGTTTTTATTGCTTTCAATTTGATGCCTGTTATTCTGCCTCTGATTATGAACAAAGTCAGGCACTTTACAAGTGTCTGTGTGCTCTTCCTTACAATTGTTTAATGTACATACAATGCAAACAAGGGGCAGGGTAAGAGGTTTAAATGTTAAAGAAAAATAGTGAAAAAAAACATGTTGCATTTGATTAGATGTTATCAATGTGCAACACTAAATGCTTTCATGTCAATGACAATTCTGGGGGAGGAGGGAAGCCAAAAAAAGGAGCTTTCTTTTTAAAGCTATAGTCCATCATTTGCAGCCATCCGAAAAGTAACTGGCGTAATTATTGTTGAAAAACAAACTTGGTTGAAAGATAGTGAGGGAACTAAACTCCCTGTGAAATTATTCTTTCTGGGAAGCTGTCATTTTGAAGTAATCAACGAAAGAAGGCATTTCCAACGGTGATTCTTAAGAAGCACCGTAGGAATATTTAAATTAGTAGTTCGTTTGTTATTCAGCGCAGCGCGCACAAGTATTGGAACGACGCACACGCGCGCGCGGTTGTTATAATTCGTCGGATCAGTGCGCTACGTCGCGTATAGCTGCAATTCAAAACAATTCAAAACATGATTCAGTTACTTTTGATTTGAAATTGAGATCTTAGAATGCTGTTTTTCTCGGAATGTACAGCTGAAACTTAGCTGAAACTTCATCAGGTTAGTTGTTCAGTATCCTTCATTAGATTTTGAACTCTTTTGTTGCTTCAAACTAACAAATTGCACAAATTACAAATGATGGACTATAGCTTTAAAACTACATGTATTTAACACTGGAGGACACGTAAATACAATCTGACAACGTATTTTCGCAGGGGCAGGTGACGGGTTAAATCATCAAGCTCCCCCCCCCCCCCCCCCCCCCCAACGTAGCAAATATCGTCCCAAGGTGGGGCCTCGGGTGTTGCAAAATATGAAGCTTTGGTGAAAAGTATTGTACAAACTTAGTACTAATGATTCTCAAGAGTTATCATTATTTTATGGTGTTTGACTTAATTTTAAAATTTGGTACTTGTCTTTTAAAAAAAGTGTGTTTTCACTTTTCAGGCCCAAAAAAATCCCGTCATCAAGTGGGTACTGATAAAACCAGAGAACTGGAATTGGAAACAATATTGTAGTATATTCCTCCCCTTTCCCTCAATGGATACTTAATCCCGCCAAACATTTGCTAGAATACCTCATGAATCCTCCAAAACCTACATGTACCATTCTGTAAGAAACCAATAGCACAATTTAAGTTTAACTTAAAGGGGATCAAATTCTATGTACTAAGGCAGTAGTGGCCGGGCTCCCAATCCTTCAAAACTCTTCCAAATTCTTCCAAATTCTCCTTGGTTGATTTTAAAGGACCTGGGAGGCCAAAGTTACAACTTTAGCACTTCGTGAGCAAAGGTACACAAAATGGTTACACTGAAAAGGATATTTCTTCCAATGATTCTGTCAGACATGTTCTGAAAGTTGTCCTGCATCTGCTGCAACAATTGTTGAACCTTAGTGGAGGGCAACAAATCAATTATAAGTTATTAGACCTCCATAACACCTCTCTTTACCCATATTATTATTACCCTCCAAAGTAAATGAAATGTAACGAGGCCCACCCTTGTTGTGATCTCAAACGGTGTAAGAATAAGGCCATGTATCTGGGACTGAGTGAGAAACATTTTCAATTTTCTTGATTCTCCTGTCCATAGACTTTGTACACAACCACTGAAATGGTGTCTGGATACTACCTTTTCCTATAAAGGTATCAGATGATTAGGGTGAACTTTTCTTTGTAAAACATAACGTTAGGAAACAATGTTGCAACCTGACGCTACTTCAGCAGTTGTGTACAAAGTCTATGGAGAGTCAAAATAATTGTCTAAGTATTTCAATTATTTCCTAACAAAATTGAAAATGTTTTTCAGTCCCAATTCATATCTCATCGTCATTTTTGCGGAAAGATTCCCGTATTTGGCCATCACTAATTTTCCCCTTGACTCACCTATCACTAGTAATACTAATAGTGTCAGCCTTCAGAAAGTGCTAATAAGTAATAGTAATATGTTGTAAAAAGTCAAAATTAGCAGGGAAAATATTGAAGTATTTATTGAGAAAACACTTAGGCCTACTGACTTAAAAATTTTCAGACCAGTCTCAGTCATACTGGTTTGTGCATGGGGTGACAAGTGATGGCCAGGTATGGGAATCTTTCCATTTTTGCAATGAATGACCTTCATTGAGATGATATACGAAGAAAAAAACAAAAAAACAGCATCAGGTTGCAACATTTTTCCTAAAGGGAACGTATCGTGTTGGCTACAGACCTGGCAGAAAACTAAACACCTTTCTCCTGTTTTCACGAAACTGATGCAGTACAACTCAGATTGTGAATAACCTTTTTCAGTTGATCGAAACACCTCTTGAAACAAAGTCATACTTACAAACTGTGTTAGGTCTTGGACATTTTTAGGATCTGCCTGTCCGGTGCCTACTTCTGTCTTCATGTCTGTCATTATTTAATGATTATATATCGCGATTGTTTCCAATGTTTTAAATTGATATCTTCGGCGTTTCAGTTCACTTCGAGCTTCCCGGTAACAGGTCATCTCGTACCTTGGGCAACTCGTACCTTGGACAACTCGTACCTTCAACTCGACGTCATTATACCGAGTCGTACCTTGGACAACTCGTACCTTCGGCAAGTCGTACCTTCAGTTAAGACGACTCGTACCATCACGCGTAAGACAAGTCGTACCGTCAATCAGGATAATGATCCGAGGCTGAAATAAGTGGACCGTAACTCATTGGGAGTGGACTGCTTATTAAAATAAAGGTGAATCTCTTTTTGGTATGGGGTCTCTTTCCCGGGCCCCCAAAAAGAGGAATTTATTTAGCGCGAAGCCGGCCGCGGCAGCTTACACGCACTGTGTGCGCGGCATGCACAGGCCCACGCGGCATCCGTGCAAAGTGACACGGTTCTTGCGCCGCGCTGACCGGTCAATATGGACGTCTGTGCACGGTGACATTGATGCAGTCTGCCGTTACGTTTAGAGACTTAGGCTACGTGAAAATATTATGGAACTGATGTTTTTATCCAAGATTCACGTCTTACCATCATTTCTACAATGAATGACCATCATTGAGATGATATATATATGAAGAAAAAAGTGGCCAAACCCCCGCCCCCAATTTGTAAATGTTTCGAATAAACCAGTTGATGAATAAACCAACTGTGAATTTTTTTTTTACATTTTAGACTTTCAGACTTATAACTAGGAAAGGACTGAATCATTTAAAAGTACTGACTGCTCTTGTATACTTTGGTTATTAGACTTCACAAGAAAACGCAGAAATTACTTTATTTAGACACATTAAATGTTTAAATTTGATTTTTATAAATTTTGTCGGTTGGTTTTAATAGAGTTTAATAAAGCTCGCTCTGGAAACAGGATGTTACGGTGGTTAGGCTGTATTTCATAATTAAACCACACCAAATCCGCATCTGAAGTTTCTCCACTATAAAATTCAATAGATGAGTGACACTTCTATAGATGAGCGACGCTTCAATAGATGAGCGACACTTTGGGTGTACATGTACTTGTTAAACCGCCGGCCGCTTCCGAGTCACCGGCATCGGTACCGCGCACGACCGACCGCTGCTCGCGCCCTCGGAGGCCGGCCCGCCAGGCCCAATGCGTAAACTAATGCTGCCTGGCAAAGCCATTAGATCTTGAATGTGGTTCTGTGAGAAGGAAATTAACTTTGACTTGAAAAGAATCGTATCGTTTGGGAGTCAAGGAACCACACACTAAGTCGCGCACGTACAGTGTACATGTACTCTACTTTTTATTCTGATGGTACGAGTCGTCTTAATTGAAGGTACGAGTTGTCCAAGGTACGAGTTATCCAAGGTACGAGATGTCCAAGGTACGAGTTGTCCAAGGTACGAGTTGTCCAAGGTACGAGTCGCCCAAGGTACGAGTTGACTCGAAAGCGAGCTTCCCCATGCAACGACAGTACGCATGCGTAGTTAACCGCACGGCTATCAGTCAACAAATATTACGTACGGTGGCCCATGAAAGCCACATCAAAACACCTTTTTGTTCTATTATATTTGTATGCGCACTAGAAGTGGTACATGTAGGCCCTTTTATTTGAAATTCCAGCAAGACGATGAGAAACGATTATATCATCAATATCAGCAAGATGACGAGAAACGATGATATCATCAGCATGTTGAGGAAAAACAAAGCATAGATTTTTAATATTGCAGTATAACAGGCGTATAGCATATGCGCCTTTTGCAAAATTTTGCGAGAAAACGCAAAGTATTATGGGCAAGTTACCGCCCTGGCAATGCAATCATGCACGATCCCAGAAAAGACAAGACTTCCCAACAAACAAACAAATATCAGGTATTCATACCGATTTATCTTTGCAATGATTATATTTGCCGCCGCTATTTTCGAGTTTTCACCACGAAATTATGGGGGGGGGGGAGGGGGGATTCAGCCCGAGTTTAGTTTTGGAATAAAAAACTAAATCCTTCTTCAGAGGGTTAATTGCTGACGCCAACTGAAGACAAAAAATGAAAATAAAACATACAATTTGTCGAACAAATGCAGGGGAGAAACTAAACAAACAAAAACTCACCAATTATCACCAAGGCCAGAGTTATCCTTCCAATCGTATTTATAAGACCAATGTCACCCAAACGTTTTGACAGCATAATAACAATTTTTTTTCAAAGCCACAAGTTCTTATTGTTATATCATTTCGAACGGGTAAATACATAAAGTAAAGTGGTATTTTTTGAAGCTGTTAATCAGTCGGCGAGAGAATTGTAAAGATAATTGACTACTGCTGTGCATACACATCAAAACGATGTTAATGCCGAAAAGTGATTTTCAGAATTGTTTTAAAATTATTTTGTTACATTACAAGCAACCTTTAATCATACGAAATTGTATAAATCTTTTACTCCTAATTCATTGGTACTATTTTTAAATAGCCAGAAATGAATTGAATTGAAATGAATTGAACATTCGATGTTGAATCATTTTATTGAGTCCTGTGTGCGGTATAGTTGCAGTCTCGCGTGACAAACTCTTCAGACATTATCAAACGTCGACTTATTTGCATTTGCCTCAGAACTGCAACAACTAAGTGTAAAACGAATATAAGTAAAATACCTAATTTAACCTACTTTTTATGTAGGGGGCCAAACGTTCTGGTGGGTGGAGTAAGCCCAGAGGTACGCCAAAGTTTGAGACATTTTGATCTTGTCTCTTATATCCTGAGTTAAAATGATCTTTTTAGAAGTGATTTCCTCCGAGTGAGATGAGCCAATACGGGAATTTAATGAATGAGGGTATCAGCGCAGCCAGCCAGGGGTGGCCGGTATACAGGAACAGGGTCTTGGCTTGACGAAGGCTCGCCGGAGTTGAACCGTCAATATCCCTGAAGCCGTACTCATGTCCCAACTCGGCTGTGATGAAGATACGACCGGTTTTGTTCATGATTTTGGGATCTACAAGAAGCAAAAAAAGGTTGGTTGTAGACCCAATTGCATCATGCATTTTGAAAAAAACAACATAATTCTCCGGCGTAATAACAAAACATTTTATTCATTGGTTTTTGAAAAGAGAAACGTGTATGTAAATGCACATATTATAGGCCTATATTTTAGTTTCTATAGTTTTCTCATCTTTACCTTTGGCAAGGTGAACGACAGCCTTTCCTGGGTACTCGATAGACTCTCCATATTTGGTGACGTAGTCCTATTATAGTCAAAATCAGTTTTAAAAAATCAATTATGTCAATCTATGACTCAAATGGTGGCTCGGGGGGGGGGGATTAGGGTGTTAGCCCCCCCCCCTCCCTCGTGCCGTATAGGACAATCATACATACAAATGCATCACTTGCCTGATACCCCCCCCCCCCCGACAGCTTACCGACCCCAAACCCTTGAGCAAAAGCTGATCCACCCCAGCAGGTTTCTGAATGTTCACTTTGTTCCTCTGAAACTCAGGACAAGACGATTCAGAGTGAAACGCAATCGAACAGATCGAGTTTTTACTCGAACTTCGACTGAACTGATTCTTTTTCATAATTCAAACACGAGTTAATCTAAATCGGCTGATCCATTGTTTCCTCATTTTATGGAAATTATATAGGCCTACATTGGTCGACCGTCTGTCAGTCCGTTCCTTCACATGTCTGTCAGTGTCTTTTCTACATACTCACATAGGTCATTTTCTCGGTCTCAGTCCTGGTCTCAACGGCCCAAGTATCCAGCACTGTCTTCGTCTTCACCGGGCCAGGCCACAGTGACACCACGGCTATATTGTGTTTCTTCAGCTCCAGCCCACATTCTACTGCCATGCGATCACACTAAACCAACCAAAAGAATAGTAAGTTCAACTTTACCCTATCAGAATGGTGGAGATGGTTTCCCGATAATGATATGCGTAAAAAAAACCCTGTAGCTACACTGTGAGTCAAAAAGACAGTTACCGCGGTAACCACTACCTACCCCAGATTTGCCGACACAATAAGGAGCATTAAAGATATAGATGAGACCACCGCATGATGAGATGTTGACGATAAGGCCTTGTTTGGCAGGAACCATCATCTGTGCTGCGTGCCATGTAGCTACGTAATGACCTCTGCAAGGGAACACAACGTGGAAAACTATCATCAGATTTGACAGTTGCCGCTACTGTCGATACTGTACTATTAACTTGTACTGTACTATTAACTTGTACTGTACTATTACTTGTAGGTAAATGCAACCTCACCTAAAATCCTTTTTTAAGAGGGTTGTAGATGCCCACAAATTGTTCGTTCAAATAAACCACACAATGTAGGTTCATCAGGAGAAAAAAAATATTAAACTACATAATGTAAATATTAAACTGCATAATGTATATTATTATTTATTTTTTTACCTCAATCCAACTCGATTGATCGTGTCCCACATAGACACTGGCATTTCCCAAAACGCCTCCCCAGTCGTTGATAACAACGCCTACAGCCAATGAATAAAATGCATAAAGTCATTACTTCAAAAGTAAAAAATTATCGTTAGAAAACACATTGATAAGCTCTTAAATTGTTTCCCCTTGTACTGCCAATCTCAGACGCAACTCCTGGTCCCCCTGTCTCCCACTCTAGGCCAGGCGCGGATCCGGGGGGGGGGGGGGGGGGGGGGGGGGGGGGAGTCAACCCGCCCCGAGCTTTGTCAAAAAAAAGTTTTCATGTAAATTCCTAAAATATAATGCGAACCCTCCCCCCGTGCTCTGACACCCCCCCCCCCCCCAAAAAAAAATGAGACTGGTATAACGTCCGCCTGTGCAAAATACGGACAGCTTGGATAGGGACTTATTTGTAATCTAGTGTGAATAATTGTCAAATTTGAACAGCTCCCCCTATTGAAATATGGTACCAGGCCCCCCCCCCCCCCCCCGTTTTTTTATTTTACGGAGGCCAAGTGTCCGGAGAAAAAAACCCTGTCTACATTTCAACAATTTTGGATGATGAACCCCCCCCCCCCGCACAAATTCCTGGATCCGCCCCTGCTCTAGGTCCTAGTTATTTGGCGAAATTTACGAATGCGCCAGCATCTCACAAACGATATCCCCCTCCTCCCCAAACCCAAACCACAACAGGTGAAAGGGGAGAAGGGCAATACTGCGTCAAATCACTCCGTATGATATTCTTTTCAAAGTGGCTGGGTTCAATGACGAAAATTGAAGATGTATTCGACACAGTAAACCTTTATTGCTGAGAAGGCGTTGTTGACCAAGACGTCAAGCCGTCCATTTTGCTCCTTGGAGATTCTCTCAAATAGCATCTTGACTTGTTCATCATCTCCATGATCGCATTCCACAGGAATACACTTGCCTCCCCGCCCTTCAATCTGTTCAAACAATTCCAGATACTCACAGAATCACAAATCATGAGAGTGATTGTCATCAAGTAAACTCAACTGCCTTTTGAAGTGACCGTCCACGTGGACCCTTTCCAATCTGATTTCATTTTGATAAGATGTCCTTCGTTTGTCATGGATATAAAGTGTCCTATTTTGATATTTTTATTTTTAGAGTTTATACCTCTGGTTCTTTTCAGAACCATTCTCTTAGTTGAGAAATTATTCGCACATAGTGTTTCCGCAAACCTTTCATTATTTAGTATCTCCACCATGCAAAGCCTCAAATCTTACTGATTTTTTATTTAATTAAATTTAATTTTAAGGGCGTATTGGCTTTGGGCATGTGTGTTCGAACTAAGTATTAAAGTGATTGGAAATACATGTACTTTATTATTTGAAAAATATTGAGGTGTAAGTACCTCGTCTGCTGTCTCTCTCAACGAGCCGGGTTTCCCATCGCCAGCTGGGTCAAGCGTCCGACCTATCCAAAGACAAATTTGGGTGTGCATGATTGGGTCAATGGTAGTGAGAAACAGAGGCGTACCATGTGAGGATACATCTCAAGGCGTACCCTTTATACCGGGTCATCAGTCAATAAAAGTGGAGCCCAAACCGAAACATGTTTCACATTTTTTTTCTAAATGTAGTACATAGGATGTGTGTGCCTTGTTTTGGTCTTTATGAAAGAACGCACACCTTTTTTGTGATCCGTGGATAGAACTTTAAAACAGTGGTTGTGTTTAAAAGTACATTGAACGATTCTTATACTAAAAGAAAGCTTATAAGGTTTTCATAATATTCTAGATTTAGAAAGTGCTACATGCAGAACTTCACTAAAACAATAGTCCCGACATTTGGGTTTTGCTTTTTTGACTCACCCTGTGTAGGCTAATTGCTTAGTTAATGATGATTGAGGGTGATTCCTTATCTTAACATTAGGCCGTATATAGTCTGGTTAAGGGTGTACGATAGCGCCAGGCTGAACTCTCAAAAGACGTTTAGACCTATTATGCGAGCGCCTTGCAAGCGAAAGCCATCTTTGTAAGCCCAGGGTCAAATAGGCCCATGTTCTTCAACCAGTCACCGTAATTATTTCATTGATGAGCTTTTGACAAGAGGCGAAAGAAGTCTTGCACACATTTTTAAGTGACTCGAAGTGAGTGGAGTCGAGTCATTGAAAAAAAAAGCGATTCGAGTATCCAGTCTTGTCATTGACTCATGTCATATTACAACTCTGCTGCATGAAAGCTAACAATAATGACTCATATTACGAAATGTAAATAATACAACAATATACCAGTGATGTACACAGTGGCACCAGCATCTCCAAGCTGTAGAGCAATTCCCTTTCCAATACCACGACTAGCTCCAGTCACCAGACAAACTTTCCCAACAAGTGGTCGATCCGCCATGCTTGTATAAAACAAAATCTACAACGTTCTCTACAAAAACGCTCCTTAATCAGACGTATAGTAGGCCTACGTGAAGTGAGTGTCTGCTTAAAATGCAAAGCCACTACAAAAATAGCTGTTTATCGCATTGAGATTTAGCACTTTGTGTCGATAAAAGGTCAATGCGATATCATGTCAAGGCAACACCAACTTCGTCCCCAGGGTGTCGAGCAGTACGCGCCCATCACTATATACCTGCTCTCTCTATTACTATTGGAAACGCGGTTGGAAATAAAGTAAGCACTGGGGACGAGGTTGAGGCAACACGGCATCGGCGTCTACCTACATCCGCATACAAAGACGGTCCATTCAATAATGTGAAGCACTATGAGCCCTTTGGTATAAAAGCGCCATATAGGCCCTAAGCGCCACACTATTAATCAAAACACGGAAGACTCAAAGATTTCAGTCTAGGCTGCCTTACTTGGACTTATTAATGATTTTACATCCAGGGTACTACGAAAAGATCAACACGCCAGTATAAGCAAAGTTTGCTCGCACTATCAGACGTCCAAGGTTCAACAAATAGTTGACACAATGACACAGGGACACAATTGTGTTGCAGATCATATTTTAACCTGTTCAGATTGGTTTACTTTAATGTTAAACGGCAACGTAGAACTTGAAAATTATAACATTCCCAAAAGTCCCCATGTTTTGGCAAAAACTGCAGCTTTTTTGAAGCAAATTTACACGCTCTAGGCCTATATATAAGCTACAAATTAAATCTAAATTCTTTTTGATGTATACATATCACTTCACATTATTACAGTTGTTTTTTTTTACTTCCACCTTAGAAAAAAATAGCTTCTTGACAACAATCATGCAAAATCGTAAACTGAATTAATATTTCAATTCACAGCGATTTATAGTAAATTGAAATAAACAGTTCAAATGTACTCCTTTTTGCAAACTACTGAATATAACGTTTGCCAATAATCTGAATGGGCCTACAACCCTTACATACACTTTGACTTAATTTTAGCAGTGGATATAAATGTTTTCTTTAAGGACTTTGAGTGCTATTTCAACTGAAAAAATCAATTTATGGACGTGCATGTACTTGCTGCAGTTTCAGACTTTCAGGAAGCGAAGTGGCAGCGGTTTTATTAAGTTAAATACAGACAGTGATATAAAATAGAATTACTCAATTGAGGTAAAAACTTTCACAGCCAAAACAATTAAGAACATCACAAAGCAAAAGTTATGCAATATTTATTCCTATAAAAAGGGAGGATGATTTAATTCATAATCATAGTATAACCAAAACCACCATCCCAATTACTCCAGACCAGCTGTGATATTCTAATTAAAAATAAGATAAGCTTTTCGAAGAACTGTTGGTGTTTTTTGCGTGTGTTTTTTAATTTATCTAATATTCTAGCAACTGATACTTCGCGCTGCATGAGCCAGCCTGTGGCAGAGTTGTAACGACGTCAATGATTCGACTCCAGTCCGACTCGAGTCGCAATTTTTGGCAACCCGACTCGACTCGATTCCCAACGGGTAACTGACTCGACTCGAGTCACTGGGAGCAAATGACTCGACTCGACTCGAGTCACTCATCACAAGACTCGACTCGACTTGAGTAGAAAGCACAAATTATCGTACAGACTCAAAGCCAAAGCAGAGATAAAACAGAAGTTGCACTTTTTGTTAACTGTTACGTAGATCTTTGGTAGAAACGACCAGCAGAAGCTGCCTACTGAGTAACATGAAGCAGTCTTAGGATCTTCATAATAAATTAGTGCCTGACGTTCTTTCTTCCATTCTGCAATTTATTAGAGCATAAATTCGACTCGACTCGATCTTCTTGACCTAATGATTCGACCCAAGCCACTTCCTTAAAATGACTCGACTCGCCAAAACAAAATTCAGTGACTCGTTACAACTCTGGCGCGTGGATGCGACATCTTGATAGAAAAAAAAAACATGTTAGCTTTAATTCGTTATCGGTTTGCTGAAGTTGGGCTTAAAATCTTTGATTTATCTTTACAACTTGCTATTTCCCGCTGCTATGAGCCAGAATGGAATCTTAATAAAGCCAGGAATAAGTGCAGCCAGCCACGTGTGTCCCGACATGATGCACATGGTCTTGACCTGCCGCCAGTTGGGGGGACTCCGGCCGTCAATATCGGTAAAGCCGTACTCGTCTGCTAACTCCGCCGACAGAAGGACCCGTCCGGACTTCTTCATAATGTTCGGGTCTAGATGTGAAACAAAAATGATAAGAAATCGAAGTAACTGAAGTGCAAACTATTTCTCTACACGCTACACAGTCATATCATGTAATTTTGTGAACGTTTTTCTACTTTTGATTTGAACAAAAAAGTTAAATCAAATTAGGTTTTGCCCTTCACCGACGTTTTAAACACTGTATACTCAGTGTGTTACCTCCCGAGCAAAAATTCAATCTTATAACAAAAAAGTTATTGAGTGGATTCCTACCGCTTGCCAGGTGAACGACAGCTTTTCCAGAAAATTCCACCGACTCTCCATTTTTGATGACATTAATCTGAAAAACAAAAATTGCACCAACCATTATGATCTTTATGGTTCCTGCTCCTCATCCTTTGTACTAGATCACACAAAGGATGGCAAGACTATCAATTTAGAGGGAGACATTCATTTTACCTTTGGTTCGCTGCATTCACTTTATCAATCGTCAATATTTTGAGCATTATTGAAAACCAGCATTTATAACGATGTTTCGCATTTTCACCATAAAGCTCCGTACATATTCTTTGAAGTTCTTTGAAGAGTAATAAACTGTGATCATACCACAAGATGGTGCAAGTCAAAACGAATTGGTGAACATTAATTTTTAGAAGGGAGGGCTCCGACGAAAACTTGCTTTGTGGTTAACGATTAAAATAATATTACGTAAAATAATAAGATCTCTTGCAATGAGTATTGAGTCAAATGTAAATCACATTCCAACAGGTCAGGCCACGAGTATAACATAGGATGAACAATGCCAAATAAATGCCTTCGTCATGTATAATTTGAATATCTTGTCATTAATTTTGACTTGACTGGTGGCATACGCAACGTTATTGTGCCAAGGATAGCGACTTTTAAGAGATCAGAATTACCAGTGTGTTTCCGGCTTTGCTGGTGGTGTCTGATGTGGCGGCCACCAGATCCATGAAAATCTCTGTTTTGACGGCGCCTGGCCACAGGGAGACGCTGGCAACGTTGTGCTTTTTCATCTCAAGAGCGCAGTCTGTGGCCAAACGATCACACTAAAAAGAAAAAGAAACGGAGTCTTTAGGCCTAAATACCAAATCCAATCAATATGGGACGTTTATACTGCGTTACTATCATGAGCGCTGTAAAAGGTCTAAGTTGTGACGTCGTTATGTACACCTAGCACTGCGATAAATAAATTCTTGAGACCATACGACCACATAATATTATAATATAAGAAAATGATTTTGTATATTTCAATTTAAGGTATACTCTTTATGAACTCGTGAAGAACTTTGATTTGGACAAGTAGTGCTGCGATTTTCTTGAGAATACCAACTATAGATAATGTATACATTGGAAAATCTATAGAGAGTCGTTTGTCTAGTACAAAGCTTTGGTGAATTGGACGGGAAAAAATACTCACCGCAGCTTTTCCCACGCTATATGCAACATTGAGGTAATAACGTAGTCCAGCAATGGATGAGATGTTGACGATTAATCCCTGCTTGGCCGGTATCATCAATTGGGCAGCGTGCCATGTGGCAATATAATGACCCCTTTGAAAAAAAAAAGACAAACATCGATCTCACTAAATTCTATGGAGAATTTTGTATGCAACTGGTAATTTTTAGATGTTGGAATCAAGATGTACCTTAGTCCAACAGTGTTTACGTCATCCCATAAAGTGGGAGGCGTTTCCCAGAACTTTTTGCCTTGGCACGCAAGCAACGTCTGAAAGAAAAAAAAACACAAAGCAAACCAGATTATACATGGTTTACCTTTAAGCACCAACTTAAAACATCACTTCTGACTCGGCTAAGCTACTGTTTTGCTGTGTTTAACAATTCAGCCAAAACTTGAGGGAAAAAGGAATTGACAGTATACTTACTTTTACAGCTGCATAGGCGTTGTTGACAAGGAGATCTAGGCGGCCATTTTGTTCCTGGGATATGCGGTTAAACAGTTTTTCCACCTGCTCGTCATCAGCGTGATCGCACTGTACAGGGATACATTTCCCGCCTCGTGCCTCCACCTATAGTGGCCGCCAAATTATACAAATAACACTTGTAATCGATTCCTCACGCCCAGATTACCCGGGAAAACATGTTTATTTGTCTTCCTGTGATGCCTGGTTTAAAAGTTATGTCAAATTACCGATTTTCGTCAAAATCCAAGATGGCCGCCAAATGAACCCCATGGGACAATATTTGATCTTGGGAACATCAAAATCCGTTCACTAGACACTTTGAGGATTACAAAAAAAGTAGGTTAAAAAAAATATATACCCAGGGGGTGCATGGGAACCCTATCTTCCTACTAGACTAAAGGAGGGTGTATGAAATATGTGGAAGATTAGACGATTTATTATTTGATATATTTCGAAAAATGTCTATACAAGTCATGTCAGATCGTTTGCATTGCTCGTTTATTTTGATCGTGATGGTGATCGCTGTGGTGGAACCTGTTGGGTTTTAGTGGAAGGGGGGGTTAAGGATTAATTTCTGATATTCCATAAAGCTGCTACCTCTTCAGCTGTCTCCCTAAGGGAGCCCCGTGAGCCTTCGGTACCAGTCGGGTCCAACGTGCGACCTGAATACACACACAATACAGGTCGAAAATTATCGGATTCATGAACAATTCAGTTATTCCATAAATAAACAAATATTTGTTAAGTACACAAATATTTGTTACATACAGTACAGTTATACAACGAAATTTAAAATCTTTTAGGGCCTATAGGCCCTATATCCTCCATTTTAAACCCAACCAAATAAAAAAGTGAACTGTTCCGCCCCGCCAGATAAACCCATGATACTGCCTAAGCCTCATTCATTACGGATCCGCCTATAGGTTTAAAGCCAAAATATAATCCATGGTTTGTGGTATAGCCAGCTGTACGGTACAGATGGGTCGGGCAATAATGCGAATACATATAGCTTATTATCAAATATCATCCATGCACGATACACCTGTACCGATCATACTCAATCAATTATACAGGCCTACCTGTTATATAGACTGTTGCTCCCGCTTTACCGAGCTGCAAGGCTATACCTCTACCGATACCCCGACTAGCCCCAGTCACTAGGCAAACTTTGCCTGCCAGTCGCTTGTTAGTCATGGCAGTTTTGTGATGGGCCTAAGGACCAGGGAAACTTAACATGAACTTTTGAATTTGAGTAGGCCAAAAGTACAAGTACATACAACATACAGCACGGCGCACTTGGTCCCGTATGCGTGCTATTATTTGCTACAGTATCACGACCTTGATGAACCTAGAATGCTATGATGCTAGACATGGCAGTATGATGGCCTCGAAGGGACATTCACGGCCGCGAGCAAAGATCCTAGGATCTTTGGCTGCGAGGTTAAAAAAATGTCTCTGTGTGACAGAGAAAAAAAATTACACAAAACGTGGGTTTTTTTTGTATATAATGGATTGTACCAAGCGTCGCCGTACCAATTTGAATGGCGGGGTGTGACATGAGGCCGCGCCAAAAGTTTTGTTTCCCCGCCGCCGCGTTTGACAGTTTCTCAAGCAAGTTGGTGTTCCTCATTCGCAGTTTCCATGAGGTACCACTGAGTGGAAAGATTACAACTTTTCGACTTTTCTTGCTCCATTGCTGTTTGGCCTTGTGGTGAAGCAGGCTTCAGAGGAAACCAGACTGAAACAAAAACGCTCTCTGTTGACCGTCATCTTTGATCTGCTCTACGCTGACAATCATGACCGTCGCCAGGATGGGGCAAGGGTGGAAAAGCCACAAAAAAGGAGAAATAAAAGAAAAGAAATAGAAAAGAAAAAGAAGTGTGAAGTCATAATATTTTTTTTGATCCACCCTGGAAACGCAGAAGCCTGTTCGATGAGGGCTGCCCAAACAAATAATGAGGTCTCCCGCCTCAGTATTGGAAAGACAATCTCAGAATCTCAGAAAGTTGACTGGATATCGCCGCTAGGCATCATCATCCAGTTTGACTTCACGCCGGCGCCGTGCAAGCGTGAAAGAAGGAGAAGAATGCCTTCAAGAAAGAATAGGTCTCTCCGGGCAAGGGTCAAACTGGCACAAGCTGACCGAGACCAGAACGGCGTGGAGAACAAGCGAAGCACTGCAGGCAGAGCAGGCGGTGAGGGCTCAAGCAACGTAGGAAGAAACATTGTACATGTGTGTCAACCATCGTCAGGCATGACGGGAACGTCAGTGGGGTGATTTAGGAGAACCTATTGTCAGTGTTCTGCTGATTTTTTTGAGTTACCGAATTCATTCCGATTTACAACTCTCTCACAAAATATATATTTATATAACGTTTAACTGAATGAACTCACTCCTCAAAAAAAATTCACAAAAGGGAAAAAATGGGACATACGTTTGATTACTTTTGGAACAATTTATTGACATCTGAAAAATTGTATTAATTTTGTTAAATGTTAAACAGTCCTGTTTTAAATACAATTCATACATTCAATCATTAAAAAGTAGAGTCAAAATAAAGAGTATATGTTTCCTATAATTAAACATTAAATACTACATGTACTATGTCAAATTGTCAATTTGAATATATAACATTATGTATCATTCCTTTATGCAGCTTCGAAATAAATTATGTATCATCCTTTATGCCAACCTCGTCCCCAGTGCTTACTTTATTTCCAACCTCGTTTCCAATAGTAAACCCTGGATAGGAAACTTTCTTCCTGTATCCTGATTCGATACCGCAATTGGCTAGTAATGGATTTTTATCGTGTACTTGGTGTTATTAATCACAACGTGCAGTACGTGTTTTCGCGATCATTCGTCCACGCCTTCTCGAAAATACTAATTTCCTTTCCAGTTTGTTCATATTAATATGAAATGTGATACTGCATGTTGTCTCGATAAGATCGTAACAGTTTAATTTAAAAAATCGTGTTTTCGTAACTCACGCCGTGCTCGCGCTGCGACGAATTGACTCTGTTTTTACCCCAGACACCGCATACAAAAACAAACGCTAATGTAAAGGATATCCAAGGCACCACACTATTCCTCATTTGCATACGTGTTCAAAAATCTTGCACATGCAAATGATCCAATACCAGGGTGAGAGAGCAGGTAGTGATGGGCGCGTACTGTTCGACACCCTGGGGACGAGGTTGCCTTTATGCAGCTTCGAAATAAATGTATCTATCTTAAAAAAAATGACATTCCTTTTACTTCTTACAGAGTGACTTTAATAAACTATTCATAAATACCTCAGACAGTTTAGCTATTCCTATTGGTCGAGAGCCCGTCACGTGGCCGGTCTTAGACGGATGATATAGACATGGCTAGTTGGTCTTAAACACTTTTCCAGTGTCACAATAAAATGTGGACTCTTAAAAATCCAGTGCCTCTTACCGTTTCATTGGTTGAACGTTCACAATCCTCACGTAGGCATGCGCAACACTACAAGCGAGTCAGAATTTTATAGTTCTAAATTCAAAACGCAACGCCCCAGGTGCGTTCTGCGCGACAACGCGCAGAACATGCTACGCGCGCGTCAATCTCCATAAAAGGGTTGTTTACATCTTACTCGCCAGCTGAACACTCCATTATTTTGCTAGAGGGATGTTTCAAAAAGCATGAAGTGAACTTGTTGAACAAAATCGGGATTTTTTGAACGAATTATTTAATATTTCTTTACGGATAAGGTATTTATGAATGGCAATAAATATGTGCTCGGTCGGTATTTATCACTCTGTTTAATACCGCTTAGAGTCTGGGTGCTGATAATTACCCTCGCCTCCGGCTCGGGTAATTATCAGCACCCAGACTCTAAGCGGTATTAAACGAGTGATAAAAACCTCCGGAGCACACATTTATTCCCTTAATAATGCACCTTTGATCGTCTTACTGGCATTTTCTTTTGGAGGATTCTCTAATGATTTATTGAAATAAATAAAACATCCAATATAAATATCAGATTTACAACTGAAAATCAGCATTGTATATTCAGACAACATCATCAATGGAATTAAAATCACATTAAAAACGAAAAAAAAAGAAAAAGAAAGACATTCGAATTACAATATAAGGACAACAATCAGTTCGTTTTTCCATAGGTAATATCATCAACGACATATAATATTTGCTGAAACAAATTGCAGATTTGCAGATGAAACAAATTGCAGAAAGTTATTTTTTGGTAATTTTTTTTAGCTTTACATACTTGATTTAAGCTGCCTGATGGTTGCATTACCTCAGATTAATTTCAATAATGTCGGTGGGAAAATTGGTCTCAATTTAAACATTAAAATACAAATTTGGGACGTTTGGATTATTTGAGGAAAAAGTTGAATTATCAAAAAGTTAGATAAGAATACTGTCCATTCACACACTTAATGGTTAAATCAGGCACACTGTGATTTAAAAACTATCAATTTCGAATGGATATTAAAAATAACAATGAACAGTCGTACTGTATGTAATAATTTCCCTTATCACAGAAGCATTTCAATGACAACACAGGGAAAGAAATAATTTGCTAAAACAATATATAAATTATTATTAAAAAAACTACAATGCGGTGGATCATTGCCCTTGGCAAAGGGAGGTTCAAAGGGAATTTTGCACACAAAATTCTAAACCTTTTGACTTCAGTGTTGTCGTCAAGGTAGCTATGATTTGATCACAAGTTAAAATCACAAGTCAATTCACAAGTCAAGTCAAACGTAACAAGGCATGAACTTTAAGCAATGCCATCATCACAATTCATTTAAAAGTTTTTGAATTGGCTTGGGACTGGTTGACAATTATGACTAATGTGTGACGGACTTGTGATATGATATGTGATCCATTACTAGAAACTAGAGTGCAACGCTGTGTGACTTCTAAAACTTGCTACTTGAAGCCGTCCACAACCAGTAAGGCAACTTGACGAATGACGGCGTGATGGCAGCTAGCCAGGGATGGCCAGTCACCACGAAAAGGGACTTAATCTGCCTGAAATTGACCGGTGAAGTCCCATCAATGTCCTGGAACCCGTACTCCCCAGCAAGCTCGGCAGTCAAGAGGACCCGCCCAGACTTCTTCATGATGTTCTTATCTGAAAGTGGAGGAAGTCATGTTCATCCCAAGTTACTTAACGCCTTACTTGTGACTTGTTGTACATGTATTTGCACATGTTCATAAGATTGATCACTCGACTGCTCTTATGAGACTGAGTGATATTTAAACTTGTTGGAAGTCATAAGTCATAATTCATAGCTTTCACAGATGAACCCATTATTTTTGCATTTCGTTTCAATATTATTTAAGTTCATTATTTCTTACCTTGTAAAAGATGAACAATGGCCTTGCCAGCATATTCCACGGACTCCCCGTTCTCAAACGCTACTTGCTGCAAAAATGAATTCGACACTTAGTGTTAATCAGATGCGCACTATAGCATCCTGTACACAATATGGCATACGGATATCTGCTCGTCAAATTGTGCAACATTAATAACAATTGAGAGACAAAGATCAGCAAATTATATTTGGGAAAGTGCAAGATTTTTCAATGACATTAGTTCTTCCAACCCTGAAAATATAAGCTAGGGGCAATAAAACAGAGAAAATGAAAAACCTACACAATTTTGAAACACGAGCATTAAACACTATGCCACAATCTGTGTACTTACTAGGCCCGTTGCCATGCTTTTGAATTTATCTGAAGCCGAGAATTCTTGGAACATTTCTGTCTTGACAGCGCCTGGCCACAGTGAGATGCAGGCAACGTTGTGCTTTCTCAGCTCTATGGCACAGTCTGCGGCCATCCGGTCACACTACAGAAACAAACATGGGTCAAGTTCTCTGGTTGATATTGAGATTTGAGGCTAAGCTGTGGAAACTACAAGTAAGTTGGGGAAACTGTTCAGGCACCGCTGATTTTATTTTCACAACCATTTCTCTCACCAATGGTGCAACTGGTAGGCATTGGGGCTCAGGACCCTGCCACCAGCTTGCTCGTCCTAGTTAATAAGTATTTGGGGAGGGTGAAAATTACCTTTTTATTTTAAAAACCCATTGAGTATCCCAAACAGAACATCATTTAAGCATGGATACAAACCACAGAGCTATTTAAACTCAATAGAAAGCAAATTCAATCATACATTGTGGCCTGCTGGGTAAAAGGTTTAAATTTTGTACAGTGTTTGTGTGGGTAAGTGCATATCTGCATATGTATCCAAAACCAATGCTCAAATGAAGCCAGCATGCTTTAAGGGAAATGCACTATCAGTAAATGAATGTTTCATTTCGCTCTGTTCTTTAAGAATGCACACGTGTTGTGCCAGTGCACTTTTTTCGATGCTAATGAAACCCAATTTATGCATCCACACTTGTACTCTCGCATTGCATTATTAGAACTCGCCAGTAAAATTCTCTCCAAATTGTATCAATGTATTCTAAGAAGACCGTTGATTTAAATGTCTGATTCAAATACTGTTTGAAAGTTTTCTGTGTAAGGGAATGAATGGTTAATGTGCTCTAGTAATCAAACACACACCAGTTCTGAGGTACAAATATAAAAAAAAACTGGCATCTCTCTACTCACCCCTGCTTTTCCAACTCCATAAGCGACATTGAATAAGTAACCGATGCCCCCAGCAGATGAAATGTTGACAATTAGCCCCTGTTTTACTGGTGCCATCATCTTGGCAGCGTGCCAAGTTGCAATGTAATGACCCCTGATAGGAAAAAAAAAATTGGTCATTATCTGTTAATTTATAAAGAGGATGCAGTTGTGTTGAAAAAAAATGAACTAAGAAGGGTAAAATTGTATAACAACAATTGTTATGGGTAAAATCATAAATTTAAAGGTATAGTCCATCATTTGTAATTTGTGCATTTTGTTCGTTTGAAGCAACAAAAGTGCTCAAGATCTAAAGAAGGGTGCTGAACAACTAACCTGATGAAATTTCAGCTCAGTTTTAGCTGTATATTTCGAGACAAACAACATTCTAGGATCTCGATTTCAAATCAAAAGTTGCTGAATCCTGTTTTGAATTGGGCCTGAATTCAGCGTCCGAGACACGTTCTCACTGAGCATGGAGCTACGCGATGTCAAGCACTGATCCGACGAATTATAGCAACTGGCGCGCGTGTGCGTATAGTGCCAACACTTGCATGCGTTTTGCCGAATTTAAAAACAACGAACTACCAACGGAAATTTCCTACGGTGCGTCTTAAGACGCACCATTGGAAAGGCCTTCTTTCGTTGATTTCTTCGAAATGACAGCTTGCCAGAAAGAATAATTTCACAGGGAGTTTAGTTCCCTTACTATTTTTCAACCAAGCATGTTTTTCAAAAAAAATACGACAGTTACTTTTGGGATAGCTGCAAATGATGGAATGTAGCTTTAATTTATAAAGAGGATGCAGTTGTGTTGAAAAAATGAACTAAGAAAGGTAAAATTGTATAACAATAATAGGTATGGGTAAAACCATGAATTTAAATACTGTCACTATTGCATCTTCAAAAACGATGATTTCCAGCTTTCAATAAGTCCCTCATGTTCATCACTACAGTTTATGTTCATCACAACACATTATTGCCAAGATTGCCTCATTCAGTGTTTGTGAAATAAGCTGTCAAACATCGTACGGCCTCTGTTGACCGTGTGTTGAAAGGAGGGGTAGACACGTTGAATTGAAGGTTAAAAAATACGAACAATATTAAGTGTTCTTTCAGCAAAACAAAATCAATTCTCATAGGGATGCTTGTGAAATCTTTTCGTTTTGCTGAAAGAACATTTACCTTTTTTTGATCCATGGACAGAACTTTAAAACGGTGTTTGTGTTCAAAATTCTGTAACTTGAAAAGTATTTGAGTGCTTTGAATGATTCTTGTACTTAAAGAAAGCTTATTGATTGGGCTTTTATATCCTAGATTTTGAAAGTGCTACAGGCAAAACTTCATTCACAAATTGGTCCTGCCATTTGGGTTTCATTTTGTTTTACTCGGCCTGTATAACCTTACACCAAACAATATGACAATATCACCAAACAATTTGCAAACCTCACCTCAATCCAACATTGTTAACAGAATCCCACACAGATGACGGCGTCTCCCAAAATGGCTTTCCCATATTGTCCATTATATCCTGCAAAAGTACATTTACATTTATATATGACATATTCTCCCAAAACAGGTCATTTGATTTTTTGTTCATACAACTGGTACTTCAAAAGGCACCAGATGTATCACATGACTAAAAAGCCAGTTCCGTATCTCGATGAAGTAGTCCAGGTCAAAGGTCATTTGGGATAAAATCACTGAAGTGATGTTACGCGGACGCCTAGTATTCTGGTTGTAATTCATGCACGAGCGTCGTGCGCCAAGCTCCGCATGCGTTCATGCTCCGCACGCATTCATACGCCTTCGATTATCCCAAATGACCCATGACCCATATCATTGTGCACATACACAGTTGAAATACCGAACTGGCTTATTAAACAAATGGGATTCATAGAAATATAGAAAGAGGCACACATACTCCCATTTTGATCATTTATTTTTAATGCAAATTAAAAACAAAACCTGAATAATCAAGAGCCACTACAAAAAAAACAAGAATGTCCTGTAAAATACCAAGAGTAGAGATGTGCAATTTTGAACAAACAAAACACGTCGCCAACCATGGATTAAATTTATGCAAACTGATCGCTGCGCATACAAATGGCAAATAATGTTGTAAATAATTTTTAAAAAACCAATAGCTTATGACACTACAAACTATTGTATCTTACTTTGACTCCTGCATATGCATTGTTGACAAGGAGATCCAAGCGTCCATTTTGCTCTTTATTGATGCGATCAAACAGTTCCTGGACCTGTTCATCATCTGAGTGATCACACTGCACTGGGGTGCATTTACCTCCACGTGCTTCGATCTATTCGACGATGTACAGAAGAAAACAAAAGCACACATTGCAATGTTTTATGAAAGGGAAATTTGTTGAAAAGGTTGTGGAATGCTCGAACACATTTCCGTCATTTTTGGGTATATGTAGCCTAAGGTGTGATGCAATAAAAACGAGTATTGTGTCTGTCATGAAATGAGTACAAAAGGTACTTTTGAGAGCAGTTTTTCAGGTCCTGTTTCGACCCGAACGCGCAATGTGTAAAAGTCATCATTGGGGGCAGCAAACAAATCATAGTAAATCGTGACGTAATAAACAGGACTACATCACGATTTAATATGTTTTGTTTGCTGCCCCCAACTTATTTCATGACAGACACAATAGTTGTTTTTATTTCATCACACCTTAGGCTACATATACCCGAAAAATGACGGAAATGTCTTCGAGCATTCCACAACCTTTTCAATGTAGCTACACAATACACACTACAAGGGAATACTTTTTATCAATATATCCCTCTTTTTTTTTTTACAAATTAGAGTAGTTGGACAGGGATGTATACAGCTTGGCAGGGAAAACCAATAATGTCATACATTATTGCAAATCTCAGTTCACTGCGTAAGGCTTTTGGTCTCTGTATGCGTTTACTTAAACACATCAGCCACAAATCCAGGATCCACCACTGTGCTAAATTACTTCAATGTTTGCTACATTGCATGTTACCTTGAATATTATATTTCTCATCCAAACTTAAGGGAGCATGGAATCCAAAACTTCCATCCAACCTAAAACCTTCTTGTATCAAATAAAGGCAGCATAACGTTTTGCTTAAATGTAATAGCTGGACTTTTACGTCATAATTTGGATAACATGTTTTATTTCAAATCATTTCCAATTCTTCCTTGTTTTCATTTTAATAGAGAATATCCTAACTCTGAGTCTCCTTGAAACCTTACAGTGTCCAAAATATCTTTCAGTATGAGAAAACATGACGAAAATCTGAATTTCATACAAATGGGGCACTTCCAGTTCAGACATTCATAGAAAGGAATACATTAGTAGCCAGCAAGTGTTCACTAAGGATAGGCGAAACATTTTGTATATTTAACTCTATGGAACAGTAAGGCCAAAAAAAAAAGGTCTCCGGTTTCTGGTATGGAGCTTGCCCAAAAAGTGGTGCGGCGACGCGGCTTTTTTTTTTTTTACTTGATTTTTTTGCTTCAAATGTCGGCTGATGACTGCAAATGGTGCCCGACTAAACTTAGTGCAAATATATGGGAGTCCAGAGAGGCCACATAAAGCTTATTCTCGACCATAACACAATCTAAAAACATGTTAAAATTGTGCAGCAGCAGGATTCCAGTCAAACCAGTGAGTTTGGCGGTTTTGAGACATCATGTTTCATTGAAAAAAAAAAACTTTTTCATTTTGCCGACGCGCATGGCTACGGCGACGCGCGCGCACACCAGAAACCGGAGACTTTTTTTTTTTGGCCTAAGCATTGGATGTTTTGGTCTGTGCTAATCTGTGGTACCTGGACCCGCTCCCCATGGAGACAAGATCAGTATTCAATCAGACAATAGCCAAGATCAGTATCAAAGGGAATGTCAACAAAAGGCAAATTATCACCTTGTTATAATCTTAACACAATACTGCGCCAGACAGGAGGAGTATCTGGTACAGTAATTGGACAATTAGTACTGTCACCACATCTTAAAAGCTGTAAACAAAGGCTAAATATAAATCTGTTTACAAATTTCCCATAGAAGTTTAATAATTGTACCCTTTTCCTGTTTGCTGCCCCACACATACTGGGGCAGGTGGCAGCCTCTACAAAGTGTTGACTAAAATGTTGAAATTGTGAACCAACATTTTATAAATGTGGATTCCCACAGTACAATGTATAACATAGTTTTACCTCTTCAGCAGTGTTCAGCAGGGAACGCTGCTTCTCTGAAGTATCATCTGACTTTGGTTTTAGAGTTCGACCTGGTGAAAATGCAGATACTTGATAAGACTAGTGTACATCTTTTGGTCAGTTGACTTATATAACGGAAAAAAATAATCTACCGTGTGCAATTTCGGGAACATTCTTTGAAAATTTCAGGGATTATTAATGAAACGCTATAAAACCCAGATCCACTTGATGCCAATCAAAACTCCCTAACTGCCTAACCTATATTCGAATGCCTTATCGGATGCAGAACTCTTTTGGGGGGGCTTAATCAAGGAATGAATACAGCTTGTCCAATAACAGAATTGTAATTTTATAGAGTATTTTACTCCATTGATGGAAGTACATGTTCTTTTCATACACTGATATTGTTCGCTAGACTTTGTCTCCAACTCCTATTTTACCTGTGATATAAACAGTTGCCCCTGCCTCGCCAAGTTGCAGTGCAATGCCTCGTCCAATCCCTCGACTGGCACCAGTCACCAGGCAGACTTTACCCGTTAGTGAAGAGGCCATAACATTCATCAAACGATACTGGTAAAAACATAAAAAGTACCAAAATGTTGCCGTTATTACATTATACTCAGATTACCAGCTGAAAAAGTTGAAATTCTTTACTTTTGCAATTCCCCAAACTACTTGTAAATGTTTTATTTTCACATGTCTGACCTACACTTCTATTTTCGAATTTTGGACAAATTTTTTGACAAAATTTTAACTTCTTAAAGTAAAAACGTTGAATTTTGTTGCGAGCCCCCCCCCCCCCTCCCCCCCATTAAGCCAAATCCCTAATTAAGTTGGGACACTCCCAACTATTAAATAATTTCGGGCAGTACCGACTTAGTCTATGGAACATCCCCCCTTGTCGTGGCTCTGCACACGTGAATATCTGATACTCAGACTACAAGTTTACAACTTTAGTTGGGGCCGGCCATGCAAAGTTCCTTGAATATCCCGCGCTGGCGGCGCACACAATATGGCCAGCTGCTGCATACATTGTACTGTGTAGCATGGAGAAATAAAATTTCTCCATGTGTGTAGCAACTATACTCCTAGAACTATGAGGCTCCGCGTGAGCGGAGCCTCATAGATGTAGAAGCCCGCAAAATTGTCTGCAGCACAAAACACTAATAAAGTACAAAAACGTCCATCAAAATGCAGACATTTCACACAGAACCGCTGCACAGTTTGCCCCTATTCTCCGTATTTTACCTCTTGACATACTCACGTATCTTGGGCACAACTAACATAGGTGGATTCTGTCGGTTTTTAGGCCAAAATGATGAAAAATATGCCCTTTCCGCACTGAGCCAACCGAACACTTGAAACGTGCACGCATATGATCGAGCGATGATTTTTGGTTCGCTCGGAGCGCGCCGCGGGGGGTACGGTACAAGCGAAATGATAGTATGTGCATGCGTACAAGTGCATATACCGTACCCCCCGCGGCGCGCTCCGAGCGAACCGAAAATCATCGCTCGATCATATGCGTGCACGTTTCAAGTGTTCGGTTGGCTCAGTGCGGAAAGGGCATATTTTTCATCATTTTGGCCTAAAAACCGACAGAATCCGCCTATGTTAGTTGTGCCCAAGATACGTGAGTATGTCAAGAGGTAAAATACGGAGAATAGGGGCAAACTGTGCAGCGGTTCTGTGTGAAATGTCTGCATTTTGATGGACGTTTTTGTACTTTATTAGTGTTTTGTGCTGCAGACAATTTTGCGGGCTTCTACATCTATAGTTCTAGGAGTATGTAGCAACGTGAACGTCGTACCATGGTCGTCGACCACTAAGTTTCATCTATGAATAAACGTTATATTAAAAGAATGATTTACCAGAAATGTTGGAATGTTTCTCCACAACTCCACCGTACCACCAGCAAAGGGAACACTGGAACACTCGCTATGTCATGTACATGTATGTCTGCAAGCAGAACATAACACAACGTGGACAATGGATGGAGAAAGTTTCAGACTGAAAAATTGCATAAGCACGTGGAATTGTTTACATAATGCAGGAGTCCAGACGAATATAAGCGGCCAATTATGCTCCGGCTGTCAGGGAGCCCGACTATCGGGTCGTTAATCATCGATCGGCACGCAGTGAACCCCGCCGCAGTGACCGCATGTGCACACGTGTGCATAACGTACAATCCGCCGGTTTAAAGGGCTGAGCTGTGGTGAAAATTATGGATCAAGATTTAGCATCAAAAGTGAGCAGCCTGTGTGTTAGACACTACACGGAAGTACTTCCTAAAAAGGGCAAGCCACAGGCCAGCAAGGAGTGGACATTGCTTGCGGCAGTCGTACAAGTAAATGAAAGTAAGAAACGGAAAAATTGTTGCAACCTGACGCCACTTCCGCATTGTCAGATTGTGTTAAAGTCTATGGAGAGTCAAGAAACTTTTTTTGCCAACAAAATTGAAAATATTTCTCAGTCCCAGATTCATGTCTCATCATAAATTTTGCATGAATGACCTTCAATGAGATGATATATGAAGTTCAGTAACATGTTACAACATTGTTTTTTTTTAGAATGATGATCATGAACAGTAAACATATCATACTCCTTTCTGCATCAACAGAAACAGATGACCTTAAAGTTGTTGCTATGGCAACAGGAACAAAGTGCATTGGTCAGAGCAAGATGAGTAAAGAAGGTAAATTCAAACGTGAAATTTGATGATTAATGTTCAAAAGTGTGAATTATGACATGATTATTGTCAGAGGGGGGGTTGTGAGAAAGTGGGATGGCAAGAAAGTTTCTTTTAATTTTGGTTGTATTATGCCGCGCCGGCGAAGCCACAAACTTTTTCCATATAGAGTCAATTCTCCCAAATCCTCCATTTTGTAAAGAGGATTTTTGAGGACTTGGGAAGGTCAACTATATGGTGGGGAATCAAGTGATTGTCAGATATGGAGCTACCGAGCACAGAATATGTTACCAGTCACAAAAGTTACCAGCCAAAATATAATGAAGAGTTTGTGACTGTTTTTCATCAGCTGACTGTAGCCGAGGACAAAACATACTTGTACAAATTAAATGTATGTAAATTTTTGGTGGAATTCATTTTACCTTAGCAAATTTATGCATGGTTCATCCATTTTTTTTTTCAGGGGACATTATTAATGACAGTCATGCAGAAGTGTTAGCGAGGCGAGCTTTTCTCAGGTAAAAACATACAGGTTAAAAAAGAATGTCATTTGGCTACTAGTATTTCTCAAGTAAGGATATGGTTTAGCAATGTTTGCAAGTTCTCCATGTACATGTATGTAGGGTATCTAATATAACTCTTACAAATACATGTCAAGTGTGCTCTTGATTTTTTTTGCCTTGATGCAGGTACCTCTATGAGCAGCTTCAGCATGCCTATTCAGGAATTCAGGAGACTATCTTTGGAAGACCTGACCAGGATTATCGCTGTTTTCTGAAGGGTTTCATCACGTTTTATTTCTTTACCAGCTGCACACCATGTGGAGATGCTTCGATATTTCCAAAGGAATCATATTCCAGTGATGATCCAGGAAAAGATTCAGACGCCGATCATTATGAAGCAAGGGGCGTCTCTCAAAACAGGGCAACAGACCAGGGTGTGCTCAAGCGTTCGGGAGAGTCTTTAGAAGGAACTGAAATCAGCTCACATAATTTGTCTGATTTGCCAAGTGGTTGTTCACATTGCAACAAGAAGCTGAAAAGTGAAAAGTCTGCAGTAATGGAGCAGTTTACATCAAAGACACCTTCTGAGCAACATAGAAACTCACATTCCTCTGTTTCAGAAGGGGATAATCAAAGTGTAGAACAAAGGAGTAATACTTGTAGTGCAACATCTACAGTCAAAACTGACAAAACTACATGTAAAGCAACTGGATGCCCGGCAGTTTCAAATCAACCACAAGAAATAATAGACTTTTCCTCAGGGGCTTGCCAAGACATCCACCGGACTGGGGCAAAATGTGTGCCTGGTGGCCCCCAGGATTTACTCCTGAGTGGAGCTGACTACCACACGGTAGGTTTGTTGCGGTTGAAACCTGGACGAGGAGACTCAACATTGTCCATGTCTTGCAGTGACAAGATGGCCAAGTGGAACGTTGTGGGATGGCAGGGGGCACTGTTGTCACACTTCCTGGCTAGACCTGTTCACATGACGGCTGTGATATTTGGAAAGTAAGGGGGAAATATCAAGATATGTTTTTGTGGGGGGGGGGGAATGTTTGGTTTTGTTGGTTTTGGTTTGTTTGGTGTAGGCTTGGTTGGGTTGGGTTTACTCCCAGTTATAGTCTGGGCCTCCTAGTTATACTCCCTTGTGGAAGTCCTTAGGAGAAGAACCAAGCAAGTACCAAGTATGGGGTAGGGCAGGGCATGGTTGGGCTGGGCTGCCTTTGGTTTGGTTGGGCTGATTTTGGGTGGGTTCGCATCAGGTTGGGCTGAGTAGCTTACATAGGTATTGATGGGAGTAATGTTGGATTTTTTGGTTTGGGAAGAAGATAGGGTTGGTTTCATTTAGACTGGGTTTGGCTTGGCTGGGATTGGCTGGGTTTACTTGCCTGGGTTGGGCCGAGGTAAGTCAATGGTGGCATGGGTAGGGCTAGGATGGTTTGCTTTTTAGGCTGTTCATGTTGTCAATGTATGATAATAATAGTACAGTAATAGGTACAGGATCACTCAGTACGGTATATTTGTATATTTTGTCCCGTCTTGTAGATGTCCATTCAATCAAGAGGCAACAGAGCGGGCCCTGATAGGTAGATTACAGCAAGTTTCTGACCTTCCAGAGCACTATTGTATTCATGCTCCTCTAATTGTCTCAACCCAAGTACTGTTCCCAGACTCCAAGGAGGCAGTTCAGTCTTCAAATGCAGCAGGGGACAGGGTGAAGTTGGTACCAGCTGGGGCAGGTAGAATATATGTGCTTGTCAATTGCGTACAATTACCTTTTCAAATTTTCCATAGTTGGCATCAAACCAAAACATTTCTGGAAAAAAAGCTTTGGTTACAATTTGAAACCCTCATCAATGTGTTCTTGCTTCTCTACTGCTGACAAAGCCATTCCTTTATTTTTGTTCCTCCTTCTATACTTCTTGACCAAACTTGTGATGGACTTGTGACTGACCAGCAAACTAATGAATGTTACCATCAACATTTAAGGAAATAAGTTTGTTCTGAAGGAGGTACAAGACTTCTCCAAAAAAAAATTGGACTGCTCATGCATTTACGGTGCTTAGGATCCCACACTGCATTTAAATGAGTCCGTCTTCTTTTTGGCCAAGTTCAGGCAAGGACGATTAGTTGACTAGTGGTTGATTTGTGACGTACCTTACGCCTGCGCACTGATAGCAACGTGCGAACGTCTCTAGTCAAACGCTGGTCAAAATGTCATCGCAAAACTTCTGGATCCTGGCTCTCTGCTAGCGTTATGAATGCGCGCGGATATTGGTAACCATCGATGCAACCAGCCCCAGTAGGCTGGTTCCAAATAGTCGACTAGCGTAGTCAACCACCGTCGACTAGACAGAGTTCGGGCAAGTCCTTGCGCGAACTTGGCCGTTGCTTGCAAAAAGTGCAAATTGTAGAGTTGGTTACTGTTACACAGATTGATTATGTACACTTACCTGCAACGTTAAAACCAAAGGGGAATCTCAATGTGCACATGTGAAGCGGGAATACTAAATGTGCTTACTCAACCCTGTGTGTTTTGGGCAGCATCTTGTAAATTTGATGTTTTTATCGTTGTCATTGACCTTGTTTGTCTCTGACAGCTATCATCTGGGCCAGCGTGGAGCACAAAGCCTTGGACGTGTCAGTTAATGGCAAGAGACAAGGCGTCATTACCAAGAACATTCATAAACAGGAGGCTAGGTAAGACTGTCGTCAAATAACCAATTTAACCAGCGGAGTTGTAGTCAAGAGAAAGTTAATAACATGTTCATAATTCATCGCATCTCAAGTCAGGTAAAAAGCCGTTTAAAACAAACGTGACAAAGATATTCCTTGATTATTGTTAATCCTGATTTTTATTTCGTTACTTTTAATTTTTGTTTAGATGCAGCGTGTGTAAAGCTGAGATGTTTCAGTCATTCAAGGACTTGGTGAAGTCTATTCCAGAGGAAGAACGTCCACAAACATTGAGGTATATATATCCACGAAGTACAAGGCATAGATTATTAGTTATCTCACGAGCGCGAGTGCAACAAGAGATAAAGTGGTGCATCTGTCCCACAAGCCAGAAGGCAGACTTGACACACTAGTAAGTGTGGGCACTTATCAGTGTTTTTTCTGTTACACGTTCATGCAACAGGAAAGCGAGCATCTCAGAACAGGGTGATATAAAAAGGGCTTAAACCCCTTATTTTGGGCTGGGTACTGCATTTTGGCTTGAACCTCCTCAACTCTGTGTAGTACTAAAGGCACAGACTCTAGTGCTTACAAAAAGTTTGGATATCAAGCTCAGTAATGACAGCTCAGCCTAGAAGTATTCAAATCCCCACAGTAACAGACATTAGACTTACAATTTTTTTCTGGATAGAGGGAATGACCAAACTTATTCATAAGATGGAATTTGTTTGGTTGCGGTACCTACTGCTATATCAGATTCGAACCAGCCATCCAACCCTGGCAAGCTCGGTGGTCGAGTGGCAAGACGTCTGCAGTAGTCACATATGTTCATCCCTCTCACTTTAGTTTGTGCGCATGCGCCAAAATCTCGGCACTGCGGAGAGGAAAGACGCGCCAATTTTCATCTGAAAACATCCTGTTCATGTTGCTAGATCAAGTGAAATGCATGCCACTTGATGAAATTGAATGACTTTATTTTTATTTTATTCGACATTTTCAAGAAAATGTTGTTTTAGATCGTTGTTTGCTTTCCATTTCCATGCAATCATCAGCTGAAAGGGCCAACTTATGTTGGGATTTTTTTTCAAAAAAATGTACGATTTGAGAATCTTCTGGTCATGTATGCATGCGGGAAAAAAAAACTAAGTGGTGCACAAATGCATTGGCATGAGCATACATGTACATGTAGTAAGAGTGAATTTTTCCCACAATCCCATGGGACAACACGGAGTGTACAGTGTTTATAAAAACAAAATGCAAAATACTGACATGGGTAAATAAAAAGGGCAAAGCCCAATATCGAACTGACTAAACTTGCCTTTTCTTTTCCTCCATAGGAGAGCCGACCTCCACACATACCATGATTACAAGATGGCAGCCATTACATATCAAGACGCGCTTGCTCGATTGCTCATCGTTTTCAACACTTGGGTGAAAAAGCCTCAGGATTACTTGCTGTTCCGTTAATTATCATTGTGTGACATTTGTGGATTTCAAATTAAAATGTCTTACACAAACTAGAAAGAAAAGAGTTCTATGCTTTGTGCTGTTGTCCAAATAATTTGGTGTAGGTCCGAGTACAAGTATCTGAAGTCAGTTGTTATTGAATCATTTGCAAGCCATTTCAAAGGTCATAATTTTTCTCAATGGAAAGTCTGTCAAAAAATCACATCTGTGAATTTACAAACTCAAATTCTTAAGAATGTTAACTTTTTTTACAAAAAAATTACATGTACCTTTAAATTAAAAATTCACTTTGTTTCCCCGAATATGACTTTAAGTCCCAACCCAATAATAATATTCAAAAACTCAAGAGTTCAGCCGACCCATGAACTAGAAAGTAGGAGTGTGTGAGTACCCCTAGAGTGAGCTTATTCAAAAGTGTTTGTCTAAAAGTGCGGAAAACACTCATTAGGCCGAGTAAAAAAAAAAAAGTTTCTCGTCCGGGTTTTTGAAAAATAGGAGGAAGAGGGGCTTTTTATTTTTTATTTTTTATTTTTTTCAAGATGGCCACCATTTTAAAATTATCCTGCAACCGTTGGTGTTTCCACTGTTCAAATACACTTTTAAAATGAAAGACAAGTTGGAATACAACTGAACATATTTACAGTGTCCTTTAGAGTTGTATTGGTCTACCAAGAACAGTTTTAGATGCATTTGCTTTTAACCGCCAAAAGTCGCAAGCGAATTCTTTAAACACATGCTCCAGCGTGAGCTGACAGATTCCGGTTGAATTTTCAAACGACTGTAGTCTAAAACTATCAATAGACATACATGTACGTAGTCTGGTTCCCTAGACCTGACAATTATTCCTGACGCTCAAGTCTCAGCCTCGACTCCATGGGCGCGTAGATTCATCAGGAATAGTCAGAATCTTTTGGTCTGGGAACCAAGTGGGTGAGTTGTTGTGAACTCGCCATGCTCGCACTGTCGCAGGGGTAGCGCGATCACACGTCGATATTATGTGGTGTACAAAGTGACCGACAGAGTCTATACTGAAAACTTTGACTCGCATATTTCGCAAGTATTTATTTTCCGATGAATTTGTGGACTTTTTCAGTGTTTTTACTGCATTTTTCAAAAATAAAAAATAATAAAAAAATCCAGGCGGCCTCCAAAAAGTAAGCGGGCGGGGACGAGAAACTTGGTTTTTTTTTTTACTTTGCCTTAGACAGTATCCATAACATTACATATCATTTTAATATTCCATTAAATGCACGTTTATTCTGAACTGAAAGATACAGCAAGTGACTTGCCTTGCAGTGAAAGCAATGAAATTGAAGGGATTCAAAAATGACTGGAAAGCGGTGGATATTTGTTATACAAAGACGTGAGAAACAGTATCTGGAAACAGTAACGTTTATAATGGGTGTGTTTTCACAAAACACAAATCTAAAAATTGCCCTCAAAATGCTGTTTGTATGTTGCGGTTCAGGGAGTAACGGGAAATAGTTAAAGTATTTTATAAATCTTGTAATAAATACTGGCTGCTTGTAACTTAGCTTTTCTGTTTATTTCAGTTGTGTGATTGGGGGAGTCACATTCAAAAATGTTCAGAACATTGGGTGGTAACATTTTGGTTCTACCCTCTATGCAAGAAGGACACGTTTATCTTGAAAACTCTTCATTTCATCTATAAATGCATTATTATTTTCATATAAGAATCTATCAACTATCAATTGAATCATACTGTTTTAATAGCTCTAATTTGAATCGCCATTTCTGTACAACTCAAAAAGGCATTGCAAAAAATGTTTAGATATCACTCGGAATAAAAAAGGTGAGATACTGAAACTGTGTCTCTGTGACATTTGAGTAAGTTTGGATATTCTTATACCCCAGTTTTAATCTCAAATTTACAAACAACTTGTACAAGACCTTTCATGTCATGAAAAGACTTCACTTGGTTCTACACCGAAATGTCAAAGTTTGTAATGAGTGGATTAAAAAGAGTTGTAATTGGACGCTAGATTGTTCAAACACAATCCTTACCCTTCTCAAAATGGGACAAAATCTCATTGATTATTATTACACCATAATGAACGTTGCAAAATCCAGAACTTGGTGTCAGTGTGGGAACCATGTTGAATCCAAAAGATTACAACAAAATTGTTTTCTACTGAAACCCACTGAGTCCAACAGAACCGGCCACAGGTCAGATGTTGTTGCATTTACTATGGTTAAAGATGTTGTTGCATTTACTGTGGTTAAAGATGTTGCATTTACTATGGTTAAAGCAAGGCCACCTACTGAATTTGATGGCAGTTAAGTCTGAAATCTCAGAACAGAATCCAACGGGTGGAACTTGTTAAAGAGATTGTGGGATGCTCGAAGACATTTCTGTCATTTTTCGGGTATATGTAGCCTAAGGTGTGATGAAATAAAAACGACTATTGTGTCTGTCATGAAATGAGTACAAAAGGTACTTTTGACAGCTGTTTTCTAGGTCCTGTTTCGACCCGAACGTGCAATTTGTGTAAAAGTCGTCGTTGGGGGCAGCAAACAAAACATAGTAAATCGTGACGTAATAAACAGGACTCGTTAATACTACGCTGCATCGGGAGTCCTGTTTATTACGTCACGATTTACTATGTTTTGTTTGCTGCCCCCAATAACGATTAACCCTAATTATGTAAACAAAAACTATACATATATACAAATAGCCTGTAGCATAATTATGGCACAATGTACAAAAATATATTGCAACTAAAAGACATCTTAAAATGCATAGCTCCTAGAAGGCAGAAAGGCGTTGGTTATAAAGATCCAAATTCACTGGCTAGAACTTTGAGCATTATTTAGATGGTACATATCATTGTATCTTAATCATTGTTTATGAAAGAAGAAATCACATACAATGACATACGCATTACAACACCATGAGATCGTAACAAAATTAAAAATCACCTTTTACGACTATTTATCACAATCCTAAAAGAATTTTTGAAAATTTTCAGAAAATATTTTTTTTCTTTCTGGCCTCAAGTCCTAAACAATAATCTTGAAAAGCACTTTTTTTTCTAAACCCTTACCATCTGCAGTCTGCACTCCAACCTTCTCTCTCGGGTCAAAGTGATCAATAAAGTTGGAGATTGGTTTATACACACTGACTGCAAAACTGTATTTCTGTATTTATTCTAGTAACTAAACCTTTTCAGCATCATCGTCATCATCTAGTGGTCGCAACTGAGATCTCGTTCACAACGCCACGCCAGGTGTCTTTATCCCTCATTATGTACGGAAGGTCTTCAATTTCACATTGGGTGTCTCTGCCAATCACATCAATGTAGTTGAAAGGTCTTCGTCTATTACAGCATGGGAGTCTCCAACATAATACATCAGATATGACCTGGTTTACAGCACGGTAGCAGTGGCCAGCGAAGCAGTGTAACTGAAAACCTTATTAAATATTCAAATGATACGACAGTTCAGCCAGTTTGTCCCCGTCACATCATTCAAGATACACAACATTTACTGTTAACATTAAACATCCAACCTGATGGTTTCTCAAAATCTCTACTTTGCCAATTCAAAATGAGTGCCTAAAATATTGCCTTAGTTCAATGCAACCAATTTATAACCTACATACAGTAAACTCCGGCTAAACCGGCACTCTCGGGACCTGAGAATTTGTGACGACTTACGCGAATGCCGATATCTGCTGTAAGTCGTCATTTTGCTGACTTACATGAAGGGTCTTTTGAACACATGATTCATTGCACTAATTGGCTCTGACTTACCCTGGATTATCTCCGTAATGCTCGAGTTGAATCCAGCAAATTAATCCTTGAATTGTATTATCACGTTTGGGGTATTGATAGTGGAGACCATGATACATAATTATGTACGTGCACAGTAACGAATTAAATGCGTGCGTGGTCCGGTATATATGCCGTACCACGCACGCATTGACTGCAGCATAGGAGTCATTCAATAAGATGACCCCAAAATGAACAGAGCGCATGCGAACAGCCTAGAGGGGGTACTGGTATTGATATGCTCACGAGGCATATGCGATGTATGCAGCAGGACACCCTTTTTCGACACCGATGCATGCAGCGATCACGGGCCGTGCGAAACCACTTTTCACTCGACACTTTGCCAACCGCAGTACAAGAAGTCGATGCCACTGCGTGATTTGTTGAATGCCGGCTTACACAAAGGATTTTGTAATGCTTTTTATAGAAAGGGGACAGAGAGTAACACGACGACTTGAGCGAAATGGCGACTTATAAAAGCCGACTTAGAAATAAAAACTTCAATGGAAATGCATTACGGACAATCGGGACTTTAGTCAGACGGCCGACTTACGCGATTTGATGAGTTGTACGATGTCGGTTTAGCCGGAGTTTACTGTACTGTGAGTTGTGAGAATTTGGGCGCAGCCAAATCGTTTTCACAAACCCAGACAACTATCTGTCCAGTGGTGGCATGTCTCCAGGAGGCTGTGATGCGTACGCATTGAACGCCAGCGGGTACATCTCCTCGTCGACATTTTTGGATTCTGGTTTCTGATTGGACTTATCCAGGAGCTGCTGTATTGCTGCTGTGTCCCGTTCCCTCAACGTGTCCGGGTATTTCTCTTGTATCTTCTTCCTTACCTGTCACAAAAAACAAAACAGCCACACTAAAGCCCTTTTCACACTACAGCCTCTCAACCCGGGTTGACTCAACCCTGGGAGAACCCAGTGCCGCCCCGGGTTGAGTTCTTTTATTTTCCAACCCCGCGTTCAACCCCGCATTGTTTCAGACTTGTTTCATGCAAATCGAGCTTATCATGCTCAGTTACTACTGTTTTGAACCCTGGCAAGAATTTCAACCCGGGTTGAAAATTTCAACCCTGGTCTGGTGCAGGGTTGAGTTCAACCCGGGGCGAAACCAATCTCGGGGTTGACGCAGGGTTGACGCAGGGTTGAAATTCTTCAAGTGTGAAACGATGCGTGTTTTCAACCCTGTGTCAACCCTGAGATTTGTCTAGTGTTAAAAGGGCTTAAGATGATTTACTAGGAACCTTCCTCTTCCTTGCAAAACCCAACACCATATGGTAAACTGTGCACTCAAACAGTTGGACTCTGTTTATTTGCGATGTACCTAATCCCACATAAAGCACAGTCAGTGCAGTACTCATCCTGCCAGATCCCAACAAACCCTGGTGTTGGAGTTTGGCTGGTTGGGGATCGTTAGGGTTAATGGATCTACCTGAAGTGCAATTTGCTCACCTCTTCCAACTCGGTATTCTCAAAGTTCTGCAGTTGTCTCTGAAAGCCAAAGTTAGGACTGGCTACTTCCCGGGCTTGCTTGACCGCGCGTAGGCAATCTCTCCAGCCATGGTCAGTTACACACATCAGGTAGGCAACGGTGATAGTCACACTCCTGGAAACACCGGCAATGCTGTAGGAAAGGGTACACGAAGATAACTTATTTGAATTGTGCCAACCAGATAGCATTATCCACAATATCCTCATCCTTTATACAACAGGGTTCATGTCAATAGCCACTAGTTCAAAAATTTTGCTAGACCGTCGATGTGACGTGTAAGAGAGGGCGCGAGCGCATGTGGCGTGCTAGCTGTATGCCTAGCTGTCTTCGCTATGCGTGCAGTACGCTCTGAATAGTCAATCAGTGTCGTTAATACGTATATTCTACATACACGGCCAGGCATTTAGTGAAGAAATGCGTACGCAGCCCATAATGCATCGACCTCACTGCACAATGTCGGCTTATTGCTAAGATCGTGTGTATGTTTGTTTGTACACAATTCTCCAGTGTATTAAGTTCGCCTGTCTGAAACCAATATCTATTTGGGTCGACTCGAGTCGCTCCTAATCTCTTCGGTTCAGCGAGACTCTGGAATGCCTAGAACTGGGGGTAACTTACCAATGCACAAGTACGCATCCCTCGTGTAGTCTACAGTCATGTATGAACTCGGTAGCCTTGTGAAAAAACTGGGATCTGAAGGGGAATTACACAGAAAGAGGGCAGAAGAGCATTAACATTGCTACAGACTTACATTGAATAATGACTGACAGAGGATAACTAATGTGTATGGGCTCCGTGCGCCAATGAAACAGGGCACCCTTTTACCTAGCAATGACGTCCCATGCTAGGTGGTGCTGTGTATGATTATTTTTGCAAATTTATCATGCCTATTTCGGTTATGCTTTAAATAATCAAAAACCTCATAAATTCATTTTTGTGTTCCTCAGGATTACTCTGAGTCATGTGGTATTATGCGGCATACTTACATATTGGCTGTTGGACTATCAGCTGAATTCAAACTCAGGTATTCATAATGCTGCAACAAATAATGGCCAAAAATTGTGAATAATCGATTGCAAAAAAGAAAAGCCAATTTTGGATTAACCTTTATCATTTGTAGAAACATCCACATATATATGGTAAAAACTTTACATCTGTGAGATTGTGAATATAGGTTTCCCCGGCTATAAAACTTATAAAAACTTATAGTTGGGTATGGGAGTGGAGATAACAATGATTTATCAGAATTCGTCAACTTTAAATTTGTGTCCAATTTCTACCGTTTTTGAATTTCAGTTCTTGCCGCTCGCACTGTCACATGCCCAGCTTTTGTGTGATCTTTGTATCTGTGCATTTGTCATGTCTGTAATTGTAAACTAACGAACCCTAGTTTGCGCTTTCCGACCAAGCATCACGATAGTTAAAGGTATGAAAACACCAATCACATTTCAAGTATAATCTTTACTTACTGGTAATGGCGCCTTTGCATGGTCATGGATAGTCACAATGTGGGTGATGCGATTGTTATGCAACGCTTCCTGGTCTTTTGCATCTAGGAAAAAAATATATTACAAGCCATCATTTCCATTTTTTTTATTGTTTTTTGTTTTAGGCCTTATAGCTTGTTTTTGCTTATATTATTTTGCAATTGAAAAGCAGGGAAAGTACATGCAAGTCTCAAGGATACCATACAGCCATATTGGATAATCAGACCATGGTAGCAAAAAGTTGCTAAATAAACAAATGAGCACTATACTGAAGAATCTTTTGTGTACATGTAGCAACGTTCTATTGTATTTCAAAACATAGCAATACAACAATCTTACCTCTGAAGTTTCCAACAAAGAGACCAGGAATGATCTGTGGGGAAGTACATAAAACATTATCACACAATGTAACAATTTAATTATGAATGCTGTGATCAGAATGCTCTAAAAATCTCCGAGCTCAAAGATTACACCGTTACTTCCGGAAGTGCAATGAGAATTGAATGTAACTTAAAAACGGAAGCATTTTACTACAACCAAACAAATTACGGAAATGTTTAGTGGTGGATGCCATACACGCAAAAAAAAGGCATGATGACATCATCACCCGAAAGGGGGCCCTCTTGAATTGTTTTTAAAGAGTATCATGTGACTCGCTCTCGGCCAATCAAGACACAGAATCTCTGGGTGAGGTGTTATAAAAACAAATAAACATCTACCTCACTCATTCCAACTCCCATATTGCGGGTGGGACAATAATCAAAAGCCTGGTGAAAGTGCTGCTGACGAAGCTCAGCAAATGTCGGTGGATCTTCCCTTCCTGAAAAGCAGCACAGATGACGTAACATCGACACCGCCTGGATGATGGAGACTCTGACTGACTGGCCAGCAATGGGATTGATCATTGACTCATGTCAGCATGCTGAAAATAAAGCGAAATTGATGCAATCCATTACTTAAGAGACAAGATTTAGCAGATATGACAGGAAAACTAGACATCTACGAATTCCTACTTCATTTTCCTTTGTGTGTTTCTAGCTGGAATTAAGTTACCCAGCCCTAAATTTTATCATAGGGTTATCGTAAGGCTGTAAAACGTCCACCAACACAATGCAAATTTGTCCATAAGTAACAGTGGGGCTCAGTATATGGCGGTCGTCCAGTACATTGTATCTTGGGCCCCATTTATGGGACTATACACAGTCTGGTGTCATTTGTGCAGAGGTGCAAGTCCCTGCTCACAGTGAAGAAAACTCATTCTTGCTTTTTATACCATAAAAAGTACACAAAATATGTACTTGCCTCTGTTTTCGCAAAATGGACTTACTTTTGAAGTCTGCAATTGTGCCTAACTTTTGAGTGCCTTTTACTAGTCAGCTGTTTTGGTGAGTCTTTTAACCTTATAGGCAGTGGATATTTTGCCGGAGACGGCAAACCTTTAGTAAACGTTAGCTTGCCGGATATGCACTGAACATGCGCAGTTACTGTTTTTGTACTTAAACATTTTCCGGTGACAAATTTTAGTCTGGCTCCATGCCAACATTATTGTTGTAACTTCGTATTCACAAGATGGGAATCAGACCATTTCACAATTTCGGACTTTATTTCCCTTTAAAAAAAATCCTCCAGAGCCACAAATCTGAAAAAGAAAATGTAATAGTCTACTCTGCAATAAAATGTTTGAGACATGTTAAAATAATAAAAGAAGAATATTCTTATTTTGGGGGGATGGGGGAAAAAAACCTTAGAAATATCGCCAGCGGGTATCGGGATCGAACCCGGGTCTTCCCGTTCATGTGATCTGTCGCTTATCCACTACACAGTACACCACAGTTGCTGCTACACAATGGCGGTAATTTAATAAATTTTATAATTCAGCCCTATATTTGAGAGTACAGCGCCCTCTGTTGATAGGGATTGCCCCCGGCAAAGGCTTTACTTGCCGAGTTACCGCCGGCAAAATATCCACTATCAACCTTATACTAGGAACGGGGTCCTAAACATTACTTGGACTACTTTCATTCTACAAACAACGAGAAATACAACGATAAAGAATTACTGTTTTCCTACCAAAATATGATGATCAGGCAGGCGGATGAGACAGCGGATGAGACCGTCACGGTCGTCCTTGACCTTGCGTTTATTTACAAAAATGCTCGGTATCTTTTTGTACGGTGAGTCGGTGACCTGTGAAACACGAGAACGTCATCAAATCGGGCATTGGGGTAGTCTGGTTCCCAGACCAAAAGATTCTCGTACCCCCCGCCCTGCAGCGTCGGGAATAATTGTCAGGTCTGGGGACCAGACTACCATTGGGGAAGGGCGCCCCGTGCGGTAGGTAGGTAAACGCGTGTGGCTAGTATTTAAGTAAATTAACACGTGGTGTAAAATTGGGTGTAAAAATAATGCGAGCGGGATTTTCATTGATGAAGAAAAACAATGAACGTATCAAGGAATAAATGAATGAACGTATAAATTAATAAAAAGGGGGATCAAGGTGACCTGTAAAATAGTAACGCTGTTTAGCAATGCTTATCAATATTAGGTATATATTATAGAGAAGTTATTTGGTTTTTTTTTTGGGGGGGGGTCTGAGTATCTTCCATTATCCACGGGAGATACATGTATGCAAGCTGGGCGCCAGCCAATCGGAGTCGACTTTACTAAATCGTGACTTCATTTCATTCCCAAATCAGGACTAAATTGTTTGATTGGTCACTAAGGCACGTGTTTTGTAATACAACAACAGCCGGGTGCATTATCGCGTAACATGATACAGAGCGCAAGACACAGTTTTTTTTATCCATTGTCTATGACGCCCAACGGGTGAATGACCGAAAAATCAGCTTCATGTTTGCCTTGAAAGAGAAAGTCGCATTTTATTTCTGATGAATAAATTATTTTTTAAGTACAACCCATTTCTCATAACGTGAATAGAATGCTTATATGATCCCCTAAAACAATTTTGACGATATAATATAGGTTTTCCCAGGTCGTGATAGGTTTTGGCAGGTCGTGATAGCGCCCTCGCGCGGCGGCGTACAAACAATAACAACGTCTAGCCTCTAGACTAGGTGCATGGTGCTATGAATCTAGCTGTGGATTTCTTTATTCCTAGAAAATCTGTCAGTTCCAGGTAATCTTGGCCTTGCCCTGGAACGCCTCAATCAAACGACCTCGATCGACACTATGAGATTCGCACGAGCTGCTACCATCGCGTATTTATTTCAAGTGCTGAGCCGACAGAACAAGTTTTTCCCCAGACGGCAATCTATGAGTGTAATGAGAGATCTCTGCTTGTAAACTGCACGTTTCCTTCTATAGTTTGCATAAATTGTTCAAACAGAACAAATTACAATTTTAAAGATTAACATTAATTGAAAAAAAAACATTGCACAAATGTTACAAATGCTTGCTTATTCGCGAAGTTGAATTCCCAAAATGCTTACCGCGACGGAAGAGTCCGCGCCAAGTTGAACGCTTTAATTATGTTTGCGTGTTTTTCCAAATTGAATTCTGTATAACAAATGCGTGCAATCGAGAGCTCATGAAATCGATGTCTCATTTGAATTGAATTATCAGTTTTTGCTCTTTGAATGGAGATCTAGTCCGTCAACCAATCAAGTATTTTTTCGATCGATGTCTCATTTAAAAGTGCATCAATTTTGTTAAGCTGGAAAAAAAGCAAATAAAAAACCCATACATTTTCGGAGTGAAACTCGAAAAAAAAAAAACACCTCAAGGACAGTACATAATATATGTAATTTTATATTATCATATGGGCGGCTGTTTTGTTTTGTGTTCTCCTTTAAAAGTGAGTAACTTATTTAGAGACAGCAATTTTTAAAGGAACCTGTTTGGAGAGGACGGGTTTTGACTCCAAAAAATGGCAGAGCAATGTGAATTCCACTGATTTCATCATCCATTGGAGGCCATCTGTTACGTTATTATCGATGATGTGCTACATGACTGTGAACAACGATTAGTGCTTGGCAGTCATTGTAATCATCTTTGTCGTCGGAGGACATGCAGACCCTCAGACAATAGAGACGTGAAGTAGATCGAACATCCAGAATCATCTAAATCGTGTTCATTTTTAGGATTATTGGTAATAAGTGGACGCCGTTTTCCAACAACGGCTTGTCTGAGCATCCTAGTAAACAGCATGAAGCGAAGTGGAATATTCTGATGGTACGCTACCCGCCTCCCGGTATATTCTGGATATTCATGAAACAACGGCGTTTTCTGTCGGAATTTTCTGTCGATATTTTACAAAGTGACGGTTAGGCCCGCTGAACACAAGTGGTTAAATGCATATCACAGCTGCAACGGAAATATGGCAGATGTTATAGCTCGACAATTAATTTTGTCTACACTGTATGGAATGAAGTCACATGACTGGCTGTATAGGGACATTTTCTAACAGTTTTAGATTGGTTGAATTGTTGTTTACGGTAAGCTACAGGGCGAGATGCGATGTTTGGCAATTTTCTTCATAGGTCTGGCAATGCTGAGTTTCGGAAACTTACTCTTTCTCAGCATTTGGACATCTTATTACCACCAGATAATAGTTGTCAGTACCTCGACGTTCATGCAAACTCCCCGAGAGACAGATGCAGGCTCCTCACCCTCCGATCAAATTCGCCACAAGTTAGTTGCTGGCTCCTCACCATCCGACCAAACTCAAATGATAGTTGCTGGTTCCTTCACTGCCAAGCAAACTCGCCAACCGACCGTTGCAAATTTCTACACATCCATCCAAACTCGCCAAAAGGCAGCGTCTAGTTCTTCCACATCCAACCCAACTCGCCAAAAGCCTACAGTGCCTAGTTCTTCCACATCCAACCCAACTCGCCAAAAGCCTACAGTGCCTAGTTCTTCCACATCCAACCCAACTCGCCAAAAGCCTACAGTGCCTAGTTCTTCCACATACAACCCAACTCGCCAAAAGACAGTGCCTAACCCAACTCGCCAAAAGACAGTGCCAAGTTCTTCCACATCCAACCCAACTCGCCAAAAGACAGCGTCTGGTTCCTCCACATCCAACCAAACTCGCCAAAAGACAGTGCCTAGTTCTTCCAAATCCAACCCAACTCGCCAAAAGATAGTGCTTAGTTCCTCCGCATCCAACCAAACTCGCCAAAAGACAAGGCCTAGTTCTTCCACATCCAACCCAACTCGCCAAAAGACAGTGCTTATTTCTTCCACATCCAACCAAACTCGCCAAAAGACAGTGCCTAGTTCTTCTAAATCCAACCCAACTCGCCAAAAGATAGTGCTTAGTTCCTCCGCATCCAACCCAACTCGCCAAAAGACAGTGCCTAGTTCTTCCAAATCCAACCCAACTCGCCAAAGGACAGTGCTTAGTTCTTCCACATCCGACCCAACTCGCCAAAAGACAGTGCCTAGTTCCTCCACATCCAACCAAACTCGCCAAAAGACAGTGCCTAGTTCTTCCAAATCCAACCCAACTCGCCAAAAGATAGTGCTTAGTTCCTCCGCATCCAACCAAACTCGCCAAAAGACAGTGCCTAGTTCTTCCAAATCCAACCCAACTCTCCAAAAGACAGTGCTTAGTTCTTCCACTTCCGACCCAACTCGCCGAAAGACAGTGCCTAGTTCCTCCACATCCAACCAAACTCGCCAAAAGAAAGCGTCTAGTTCCTCCACATTCAACCAAACTCGCCAAAAGACAGTGCCTAGCTCCTTCCCATCCAACCCAACTCACCAAAAGAAAGCGTCCAGTTCCTCCACGTCAAATCAGACTCATCAACCGCCGGTCTTCAGTGCTACTCGACATTATAAATCGCTTAAGGATGGTGGGGTAAATCTTTTGCATGTAGAACTCTTTCAAAAAACACATTTTCAACTTTAATTTCGTAATATTATCACCGACTGTATTTTCGGGGGGCGGGAGTGGCCGGTCCGTCGGCCTTTTGTAATTCGAAAAGCGAAGACTGAGGGCCAGACCTCAATTTTTCCTATAGGGCGCCCTTTCCCCTTTTCTTTCTTTCCATTAAAAGGGCTCATGCAGTGTACATGTATTTGTTTTTATGCAATCCTTGAAAATGCACCTTTGTGTTCTAATTTTTGTATTGCCATTTTTGAGGGTATATTTTGTTGCCTTTTTTGTTTTAATGCCATGCGAATTTCCATATTCATGAGCAAAAGTGTGATGACGTTTCAGGCACAAACATCTATTTCAGCACCCAAAGTTGTCAGGATTTTTGGATGTTTTGCTGTTGTAAAAGATCGTATGATGTTTTACATCATAAAGAATCTTCGGATTATTGAACCTTAAAATTCGGACTATCGGGCGGACCCCTAATATTTTACGAGTTTTCGTGCGTTGACCGATTATATTTTGGTATTTGCATTTTGTTTGTATTGGTATAGCCGTTTACTTTGAGATGCTCCTCGTGTGCTGTGGTGTCAAGCTCCGGAACTTTGCTTGGCCAGGGGGCGGGCCAAGAAATCGACCGTCACTCCTGCGTCATCAGGATGAATATGGCTCCTGTCGAAGGTTACCAGAACGACGTGGGCGAAAGGACCAGTTTAAGAGTCATGAATTTTTTCATGTTCAACGTGAATCCCTATGAGCTACCGCCTAACAGTCAGATTATGGTTTGGGGGTTGTTGCCAAGGAAATCGCATTTGGAGAATGCCCAGACTTTGATGAGGAGCCTGAGTGCGGGATCTACAATTTATGGTCAGACCATGCAAGGCGAGATAGAAGCAGATCAGTTGTTTGCGGAGGAAACCGGGCGTAAGCGGTAAGCAATCATTACGGCTTTCAAATATTGATCCCATGGATAACAGTGATGATAGGACATAAGACGAGAGTTGTAATCGGCCCAATCGTAGTTGAATCTCAAGTTAGGGCGTAATCATAACTCAATCACAATCAGGTCACAATTAACCAGGGATGAACACTGACAAAACACCTTTCCACATTATAAACACTTTAATACAACTTGACTTAGGAATGTTTATGATTTACCTGTGTTTATGGTGAAGACGATGAAATCGTATTAGTAATGATTGTGGTGAAGATGAAGGCGATGGCAGTGTTGTCCAGTACAATACCTTTGTCATCAGTATAAGTACGAGTACAACGCAAGTATTCCGTGAATACGAGTATGAGTACGAGTAAAAGTTCTGTTCACATGTATACAAATTATGAGCAAATTTGAATGTGTCACGTGATTTCAAGGGCTTTTTGCTGTCGAACTATAAGCATTAAACAAAATGCGGAAGCCCCCCAAAAATTAAAAAAAAAAATTGGTTCTTTTCTTGCATGTGGCTCTTAGAAATTTTTAAATCTAATATTTCAAATTTGATATCCGTTCTCCTTTAATTCTGTACAGGGAGATGACGAATTCTTGGCTATCCACTGGTTGGTTCACTCTAATGATTGCCCTGGAAATCTGCCAGGAGACCCATGTATATGGCATGGTTCCCTCCTATTACTGCACGTAGGTATCTAACTTCAAGGCTCCATGCAAGTTTTTAAAAATGTTGGGCCTGAAATGAATTCTGGAGACAAAACACGGGAGGGTTGATAAAATGAAAGAATCTGGAAGGCTGCCAAAACTGTCTCTTGTCATAGGAATGAACAGACTTTTGGAAGCAGGAAGGATTGGGCTCAGCACGTGTCCCTTAATTTATGTATCAATTGATTTTACATTGCTTTTTTTCCCTTTCTTTTGGTAAGGATGAATGGAACAGCAGATGTCCCCTACCACTATTATGATAGTCCTTGGAATAAGCAGTGCGCGACATACAAGGATTCAGAGACGAACTCCAAGGGTGCTCACCGATTTATGACGGAGAAAGCAGTCTTTGCCCGCTGGGCTGTGAAATATAACCTCTCATTCCACCACCCCGAGTGGACAATAGACAGAGAAAACCTCACAAGGCTGGACACTCCTTTTGTGAGGAGTACTTTGCGACGGAAATAAACTTGGCCTCACTCCAGTTCAAAGAATGCGTCAGCCGTGATTTGAGTTTAGCCACGACGAGTCCAGCGGGTATGTGCGAAGATTTTGCACTTTGTGGTAAAAGCATGAAACATGGTACACATGTTTTTAAACCAGGGGCCATATTCATTAAACCTTACTAAGCTTAGTTGGTTACTAAAAAGGCATGTAGTTGTTTACTAAGCCCAGTTGGTAACTAATTGATATTCATGAAACATTAATATTATAGGTTTTCCCAGCTATTTTAAAACGTTTATCGTTCGAATTCACAGTTTCTAATATTCAAATTCGTCCATCAACATCGACGTAGTACACTTCCAATGTTTAATTTCGTCTTTTGTCCGACAATTTTAAATTCAGTTCCAGCAAATTCAAACAATGAACACACGTTTTCGACCCGGAGTGTTTGATTTCGTCTCGTCTACGCCAAACCTTGTTATTCAGAAATCAAAAAAAATTCGTGGACGAAATTGAATGATAGAGTTGGTAAATTTGAATGAACAATCTTTTAAAATAGCTGGGAAAACCTATATTTAAAATACAGTGCCATCTCCGAGGCACTTGGAGAGAGGTTTTTTTTTTATAAAAATGGCCGCCAAGGCCACTGAAGGCCAAATAAGTGATGGCGCTTTATCTAATTGGTTTCATGTTTTGGTATAGAACATTGGGTCGTATAAATAAACACTAGCATTTGCTTTACTACCATTTTTTAAGCATGTACTCGTATGTTTAAGTTCTGAGATTATTTACTTGTGTTACTTTTTAGGTTTTGCCAGATAGCGTTTGCTTTGTTTCGTTTGTTTACAAAGGAGTAAATGCTTCAGATTTCAAATATCTACTTATCATTTTTCAAGGTTGGGTCAGTGCACCTAAAATATATATACATGTATTAAGCAAGTACGTCTGTGCAAAAATTGCTGCATTTATTTATATTAAACATGTAAAATTGATTTTTAAAAATCATAAAGTACATGTATATAATATACTATGGGTCGTATGCATTAAAACTAGCATTTGCTTTGATTACCAATTTGTAAGCATTTTGCTCGTGTCTGTATTATTTGAATAAAATGAAGCATTTTTCAAGGCTGGGTCTGGGCTACCTTGAAAATATAAAAAAACATATGTTTGTGCACAAATTGCTGCATTTATTAATGTGAATCACGTAAAATTAATATTAAAAACATCATAAAGTACATATCCATGAGTCGTATGAATAAAAATTAGCAGTTGCTTTGACTAGCATTTTGTTCGTTTATGAATAAAACGAATTGAACAAAGTGTTAACGTTACTGTGAAATTTCGATGCAAGGATTTAGTAAGGAGAAACTTTATCCAACGGCAATCTGGGGACCGAAATGAAATATAATATTTTAATATAAAAAAAACCCTTTGTATTGAATTTTTGTATGACTTTACAGGCTGAAATATTTGTCTGTATTTTTTTATGCAACTGTGACTTCGTGTACACGACACTGTGGAACGTCACAATTTTCATGAAAGTATAATAGTTTCTGCATTTTGCAACTGGCGAAATTTTTCCTCATCATTTTTGCTGGATTTGAGGATGAAATTAACCACGGTGTTGTATGCATCACCTTGACGATTTGGACTGTTACATGTATTATTCACACACACTGAAATTTGTATCCTTGTGGAGACATTTCTTTGTTCTCGTGTACTCAAGTTTTCGAGTTTGAAAGTACAGTTTCAAAATGCTCTTATTTTAACCAGAATTAATTTCCTTTCCAAATGGGACGACTAGGTGGCATGACGACCCAATCTACTGGAGGATTGATTCAAACATGCACATATATAGGCCTTCTGAACGCAAAAGCAGATAATGTGTAGAACCCTCTACTCCTTTCAATAATTATAGGTTTTTCCCGGCTATTTTTAAAAAAATTCCTTCGGGAATTCACAGATTCTTATATTCAAATTCATCCAGCAACATCGATTTAGTCCACTTCCAATGTTTAATTTCGTCTTTTGTCGGGCAATTTCAAATTTAGTCTAAACAAATTCAAACAATGAGCACACGTTTTCGACCCGGAGTATTCAATTTCGTCTCGTCTACGCCGAATCACGATATTAAGAAATCAAATTCGTCCAATTGATTTACATAAGACGAATTCGATCTCTGAATGCTGCTATTAATTTTGGCAACAGCCGTGGACAAATGTGATCTGTAATGACGAATATTCTTGACCCGGAGACTAAAGAGGGTGACCAAAAGTAATATTATTTATTGAATGGTAAAATGACAAAATTGGTTTTATTAAAAGAATGTGAACATTTTCCCGGACGAAATTAAATGAAAGAGTTGGTGAATGTAAATGGAATTTTTTTTAATTTTAAATAGCCGGAAAAAGCTCTAATTATATATTCACAAACACAGAAACGGTTGCGACGTGATCAATAATATTGATTTGTTTTGTTTTTTTCGTTTTGTTTTGAGTGAGAAAAACAAAATGGTACAGCAGCTGTCTCAGAAAGATTTTTGTTGTTTTTTTAATTTAACCTTGATGTAGTTTTGATCGTTATCGTTCACATCGTGTAAATGCCTTGCAGCATGTGGAATGCCGCATATCGCTGTAGTGGACGTGGTTCGAATAAAGAGTAGTAGTAATGACTATAGTTTCCCATTCCGTAGTACTGACCTCATGACAATTTATTTTGTTTTCCTGAACCTTTACTTGCATCGCCACACACATATTAGGTGAGTACAAACCCTACTCCTCAAGATGCATGCCCAATTTTAAAGTTTAGTCCCCAACAAGTGGACCTAGACTATAGCTTTGTTGATTTACGGTAAATATATTAATTTAGGTTTTCCCCGGCTATTTTAAAACGTTTACCAGTCGAATTCAACGATTCTAATCTTCAAATTCGTCCATCAACATCGATTTAGTGCACTTCCAATGTTTACTTTCGTCTTTTGTAAGACAATTTCAAATGCAGTTCACTAAGTTCAAACAATGAGCCCACGTTTTCGTCCCGAAGTATTCGATTTCCTCTCGTCTATACGCCAAACCTTGTTATTAAGAAATCGAATTCGTCTAATTGATTTATGTAAGACGAATTCGATCTCTGAATGCTGACATTTGGCAACAGCTTAGACGAATTTCATCTGTAATGACGAATATTCTCTACCCGGTGACTAAAGAGGGTGACCAAACTTTGAAATGGAATGGTAAAAATTGGTTTTAGTAAAAGCAATGTTAGAGTTGGTGAATTTGAATGAAAAACGTTTTAAAATAGCCGGAAAAACCTATAAATAAGGCGCCTATACGTGAGGACTTTCTTCACACTTGCTGCACCTATAACCTAACTGAATGTAAACGTGATTCCTAACATCTTTTAGCAGCAGAAGTCTTTTACACTTAGAGTTCATCATTGTTATTTGTACATTTTTTTTGGAAGCAACTTCGATTTCAATTCAAAAGTTGCTGAGTCTTGTTTTGTATTGCGCTCCGCTCCGAAATCAGAGTCCAGGACACGTTCTCATTCAGCAGATTGCAGCTACGCGATGTCACGCACTGAACCGACGAATTATATTATAGCAACCGCGCGCGCGTGTGCGACGTGTCAACGCTAATTACGCGCACCCATTTGCGGCCTCGCCGAATTAAAAACGAACTACTGACAGAAATTTCCTAAAAATGCTTCTTAAGCCGCATCTTTGAACGCATAATTCACCGAGTCAGTTTCCCTTAGTGGTTCATTTGAATTTTTAAAAACAATGATAAACAATATTTTTTTTGTATCTTATCCATGCAGATTTGACTTTCTGGGACATGAAACCTCAAATGATGAAGCCTCTTCTACTCTATGTCACAGCGTTAGTAGTGGCGATTGTGTGCTTCGTGCTATATGCTATAATTTCCCCTATAGTAAAAATATCGTACACACCTCTTCCCTACGACATAATCTCAACAAGGGAACATCAGAAGGCTAACACAACTCAGGATAATGGTACACATGGTGCCATAATCCAACGGCAGAGGGCGCCTTCTCATTCTGTGACACCACCGTCACTACATGGCATCCTTCATTTCTACACGTCTTTGCTAAACGACCGGGTATTGTCTTTGGATTGTTAGATTATTGTAATAGTAAAGTCAGACGTGGTACTAGTTTTAGTCCCAGGTTAGTTTTCCTCGGCCTCCATGGGGATCAGTGTGAACTTTAATTTGAGCGGAGCGTTTTCATGATTTTACGAAAATAGTTTGCAATTATTATATTCAAACATCCTTATTATAATATTAGTTGTAAACATTTTAACAAAATTAATAAACCTAAAACAAATTTTTGCGAAATTTGCCTAATCTGTGTCGCCTTTAATTATATAACTCTGGTTTTGGTTCATATTCACATACAGCCAATGACTTTCAGATGCTCTTCGTGTGCTCTGGTCTCCAGTTCAGGATTTCTAATCGGCAAGGGGGCTGGCAAAGAGATAGACCGCAAACACTGCGTCATCAGGATGAATCTTGCCCCGGTCAAAGGTCACGGTCGCGACGTAGGCACGCGGACGACCGCACGGGTCATGAACTTCATTGCGGCCCCCTTAGCTAACCGAATCCCACTACCAGACGAGGCCATCTTCATCTGGGGGTTATATTTAGATGACAGGCCAGGTCTTTACAGGAGGAAAGTTGAAGAGATGTCCAAAAGAGTTGGACGACGAACGACTATTGTTTATCTGACGTTAGAGGGCGAGCGCTATACTTCATCACTGTTTGCATTTGAAACTGGGCGATCTTTGTAAGTATTTTTCCAATCGCTGAAATGATGAATTCGAAACGATCTTTGTATTAAATAAGAGCTATTGTGTTACATATCTACAGTTCTTAATTGAGGTTTCAACAAAAGTCAGTTTGGCATTGCGGGTTATGGCGTGTCAAACGTTGCAAATTTCGGTTGTACAATATGTTCGATGTTCGATATTTATGTGTTATCTTTTACATACGTTTCAGACGCCATAGCGGGTAAACCTTGACTTTTGAAAAATTAATTTGGTTTCAGAGAAAAGACCAAATCCAGGCCGTCCACGGGATGGTATACACTGATGGTTGCAGCCGACTTGTGTAGAGAGATTCATGTTTATGGGATGGTTCCACATGATTATTGTTCGTAAGTAAATTATTACAAATTTAATGAAAGTCTTGCTGTTTCAGAAACTGGCATGTTACTAATGCCAGATAGACCGCTATATGACCTAAAGAGGGCGCTATGTACCCTCAACAAAGAGTGCGAGTCAGTATATGGCATTTACATTGCCCGACCCGGTAAATCTGTCCGGGAACACGATTACCAGGGGGTGAGAATTACTCACGGTTCACACAAGTCAAAAAAGTAACGACTGGTACCTCACTAGCTCTTTACGGATTCAGTTTTAGAATCATTGACTATAAGGGAGGCCTGCATGCAATCCTGCATAAAATTGGGGTACTGGTATAGGTGAATGTAGTTTGTGCATTTTAAGGAGTACAGTGAATTTCTAAGTACCCAGTAACTTTTTAGTTGAAGTGTACCTTTTTTCGTTTGTTTGTTAGAGGGTTTTTAGTAGGTCGGCTCTTTTGTTTGTATTTAAAATCTAGTCCTTCAAATAGTTTAGAGTTATTTACGAATTCACTTTGGCAACTATCCACAGGATTCATCCGAATTCGACCGTTCGGTATCACTACTTTGACAAATTTTCCGAGGATGAGTGTACGGTGTACCGGCAAGCTGAGCGGCCCACGGGGAGGAAATCTCATCGCTTCCTCGCAGAAAAATCTGTCTACGCACGCTGGGCTGCACGGTATAACATCTCATTCCATTTCCCAAAGTGGAAACCTAGGCGTGGATAACCGAAGGAAACCTTAACCTTTTGTTTTTAAGAAATAATTTAAAACGGTTTCTGAGTTTAGTTTAGATTTGATGACAAGTCGTTAGATAGTCGTATTTTGTCTGTGAACTTCAGTCGAACTCCATCGGCACGGCTGGTATAAGGCTAGTACTAATTGGCCGGGTTGCGACATTATAGTCAGCATCATTTGGTCTGGGAACCCTGGCTTCGCGCATTGCAGTGATATTTTGCGTGCGTGGAACCAGTAACCGGCGTAAAAAAATACGTGAACAATAGCCGACTTGGCACCAAGTCTAAGCTCAGTTAGGCTGTAAATACATGTCTCCATGATGGCAGAATTTGTTCGCACTAAAGCTTTGCTGAAAGTTTCGAAACTCAACTTGCACTTGCCTTTTCATGTCTAGTCCAAGTTAATTCCACAACCCGTCTTGTAGGGCATTCCAGGAATGCCCGCTATAATAGACTGCTCGGCACTCGCGGTAGTGATGAAAAACGAGGCTTTTTTAAATAAGTAGCTAACACACAATTGGGATGGCGCCCCCATTCGAAACTGCTGACTTTCTACATTCGAAGTTAGGACTTACTAACACCTAATAAGGGCGTATAGCGCCATCTAGAGTTTTTAAAGGTTAAGTTCACCTTTGATGAATGGTCTTTTGCAAAGTGCAACAGTTAAATTGATTAACGCAACACTGTCTCATACAAGTAATTGTAGCGGCACAGTTTTTACGTTTTAATTTAAATGTTTTGAACAGTAGTCGATGCTTCGTATGGATTTGTGGAAGGGATAAAATATCTGTTTTCCTCGATGTTTTCATGCGAAAAAAAACCCGTAAATGTTCCTTTTTTTATTTGAAATGTGGAAATATGCCTGTAGGAAACAATGTCATTCAGACAAAATTTAACAAGATGTTAAAAATATGACTTGGTTATGTTTTCATTCGGACGCGTGAGGGCATACTGTCTCGTACGTTCAAACAAACATTATAGGAATTACGTCAGATCCTGTAACTTATGCAGTTCAAGTAGTTTGTATGCAGCAAACTTACTTGCTATACAATAGCGTAAATCTGTATCGACGACCGGGGGATGACGTGAAACTTTCCATGACGAAAAGCGGGAGGGGCAGGGGCCGGCTGGACACCATTAGACACTAGGTGGCGCTCATACATAAAACTGATCAGAGACGTACATGGGTATATTATTACATGTAATGATAATAAACATTCTATAACACATAATGCAATTTAGTCAATATGCGCTTGTAAAAGTCAAAAAGTGAGTTGTAAGATGTAGTGTGAATTGATCCAGGGTGGGACAAGTTTTGATATGGTTTGGGAGATTATAGGGTTGTAGACCAGCATAAATTTCCATATAGACACCAATGATAAATTCCCCCACTTAACCAAAAAAAATGGTAAAAAAATCCTCTCACATGCTTGTGCTCAAGACATACATTAAATTAAAGCTCATTCTACCGTCTTTCAATTTTTGTTAATTTTTTTTTCGGAGTTAATGACTTTTGGGTGATTTTGCCCTCCAAAGATATCCCGCAAAAGTAGTCCCAAAAGCAATAGCCATTTTGAAAACTGATCCCACCATGCACACCATTGCAAAATTGCGATATTGGGTCAAATTTAATCCTAAATTTTACTAGTTCAAATAGTTGCTTTAATTTTGGGGGCTACATTCAGCACACACTAAATTTTGGGGATGATCCAATGGCCCATCCCTGGTAATAAAGTAGGGATCTACCCCCCCCCCCTATTCCCCGCGATTAACGCCCATCCGTACATTGTATGCATGCATGAGGTACACAACTAATGCAAATTAATATTAATGAGTGGTTTAGTGGCTGATCATAAGGTATAGGGCTAATCACACAGACTTGCCAAGTAGCATGTCGACAATATGCCGCCATCCATAGCCTTGTGATCCAGGCACTGATGACTTCAATTACCTTGACCTTGGCTGGCTTGATTACCAACCCATAGAGCTCACCTGCGATCGAACACCAACCGCTTTAGGGATCTCTTCAAGGCTCCAGTGGGCTGGCTTCATGATACTGTCTCGCTTTAAAGAGGTACGAGGCTGGGAGTTGTCATATCACTAAATAAAGAAGATGGGGAAAATAGAACTTTGTTATGACTCGGGCCAATAATGCTCAAGAATGTCTTGTTATATATATATAATAACGATCAAAATGTACCAAATGTTAATTTCCAGCAACAGACTGCAAACTTTTTTTATCAGAAGTCTGTTATTTATTAGCTGCATAATTACCAGGGAATAGTCTTTTACTAACTGAAATAAAACAAGGCGGAAGAAGAACGATTGAAATAGAGTGCTCTCAAAAGAAAATAAATGTAGTCTGTACGTATTATACGGCATTGTTATAAATGACAAAACCGATGCACCCTCCTTCAAATTTAACGGTTGAGAATTTGGTGTTTCATTTCACGTTTGGATGAAAAGGGGGCATGTCAGTCCATTCGCCCCGTTTCTGCAATTGGGCGGGATAATTTGTTACCCGTTGGTTCCTCTGTAACGTTCAAAAGGGCGGTGCCTCCAAGGGTGGGGTATGGAAATGGCATGCCCCAATGTGTAACCATTCTATCGGTGTAAACACACACGGACGTGCGAAGAATATTCATCGAACATCACTTGAAGTACTACTGCTCGCTTTATTACCATGTTATTGATATTGAAACGTTGACCGCACCTTTGCATGTGATTCTCGTGCAAGCGTTCGTTTCCAGTCATTCCTCGGTATATGTATACCGCGATCTACAGGAAAGACAACGATACTCGGAGTTTGGACGCTGATTAATTTTCCTGCTCCCTGTACGTGCCTAAGCCGACGGTGTTTCATACTAAATCGACCATGTGTCACCTCCTCATTGCACCGATATAGGAATGTTAATCCAATGGAGGAGATCAATACGCTAATGTGAAGGCCTTTTTTTCACCAACAGGGCGGCTTGAATGCCATAGGTCTACGACTCCAAATTATGAATTCCTCTCATAAAAAGTCGATATTTTCATCCTTTGGTAAAGACATGGAAACTGCAGCCGTTTTAAAGTCACACTGTCTTGTTTAAGTAATGTTCATATTTTTGTGATCCAGTATAAATCGGAAATAAATGTAGCGCACAAATGCATTAAAATTGAACAAATTTGTGGCTTTATCATCTGATAGACATCCAGAAAGATAAACCCAAAAAAAAAAAAAAAAAAACAGTGGACAAAACTCCAACCATCAGCGATATACAAAACATACTTTAATTGTTTGAAGTTTTGCGTAAGTAGCACTGACAATTTAAGAACCTGTTCAGTAGTCATCCACTTACTAGTTTGTATAAATATGTCTTTCAACGGTGCTTTATCGCATGCTGGCTTCATAGATCAGCCAAACTCACGCTGTGTTCTCGCATCCATAGACCTATAATGCATGCCTTAATTGAACTCATCAGCAAATAGCTCATTATGCAGATTTTTATGCCCCAGCCTTAATAAACTTGCAGATACGCAGATGAAGCAATATATCATCGTTCAGAGGAAAAGCGCACTCAACCTGTTGAACCATACCGTTCTTTCGCTCGCAGTAAAAAACAACCCCAAAAAACCACGGCAATTCCCGTTTGCTTTCTGCCCCCAATATTGTTTTCTTTTTCTGCTGGCAGGTATTGAAAGAACGCACCACAAATTGTCATTGAACACTCAAAAGTCAGTCACTGTGAATTGAACAAAAGGTATCATCGCATGCAGAGCACCATTTTTGTCTGGACACTTGGAGTATCAATGTCTTAACTGTAATTTTGTATAACAACAGTAGTACATCTTCATCATCTCCCCTCCTCCACGTCAGAACCACATTATTGACATTTCAATTTTCCTGACGATTTTAAGGACGCCAACTACCGATTTCAGGGGTACGTCATTCTTCATGTAACAAGCAGTCTATCAGCTATATATATAGCTTCGTGACGTGGCCAATGATAGTGATATTTATGACTGCATAGTAGATTGGCATTCTCATGAGGATCATGTGTGAGAATACACTTGAAATCCCTGCAAAGAAAAAAAAGATCAATTTAGGCCACGGCTCGTCTGCTATTACATTACAAATGACTGGATGGCATCAGCTTCATAATGCTCTCACTTTGCCACTGAATGAGCTTTGCTCATTATGTGTTTGCCTATGGGGGATGTAGGCCTTGACGACGAGAGTTAATGTGTGTATGTTCAGTATGCCTACATGTTCAGTATGCCTGACGTGTCTGGCTACTCGTAAAGTCAAATCATCAGACACGATATGCGATGTGAATTTTGTGTAGCCTGGGATCAAATACATTTGGTATGAAAAAAAAATGAAATTAATAATAGTCTTGCAGTAGAACCATTATTAAATGGACTGCTGACTTTATGAGGCATGTTCCAAAAAGAGCTACCGACATTTTTGTTTGTCAAAATAGTTTGAAATTTCATTTAAAAAACCCAATAAAGCAGGAGTTTTCCCCCAGATACATTGTTATTAATTCTTATGTGTTCAATGGGTGTTTAAGACACTTCTTAAATTATGCCCAGAATTTCTGCTTTCATTATGATGCTGCACACAGCCACTGAAAATGCATTGCCTGGAATAATGACAATATACAAACACTATATGGGAGTTGTCCCTAGCTGTTTGGCTGCGCATGCGCACAGGCTTCTCACGCTAGAGAGGTTTTTGTGGGCGATTTCCCAGGACTGTCTGTATCGCACGCATCACATTTCCACATCGGGGCGTGCAGTCAGCCAGCCAGTATACCGACGATAATTTCATACAAGGAGGGTATGCTACGTCGCCAGTTCTGTTATACAACACACCGCCTTGATCTCTGCTTTCGCCACAGACCGGGAGATATTTAGCGTCTCTGCGATCGCCGTCATCTCTAAATACGGGTGGAAACCTGAGGAAGGCAAAACGCATCTTTCAATCAGAATTTATTCTTAACCGAGCTACAGCAACAAGCAAGAAATATGGCCGAGAGTGGAGAAAAGGACGCCTGTTTGGCCAAGTTTCGGGTGAAGTGCGAGAACTTGACGGCCGATGAGTTTGCCGAAAAATGGCACAAGTACGACCGTGATGGTAAGTGTAATACTTAGTGGCATAGATATCATGCGTCCAGAATCAGCCCACTTGGGCAAGTGTTTTCCTTAGCAGCTTTGGTTAACAGGTGTTCGTTGTGCGATTCATGGATCTACGCGCGTTTCTTTAATCTTCTCTTCTTTTTGAAAAGATATTATCAAGCTGAGCTTGCATCCGGAGTTTATCCAACGGCTTAGGCAGAGTCAGTCTTGGTTTTCTCGATTCCTCCGTCATCATTTTGTGGAACAAGTCCATTGTAGGTCCTCGAATTTTCAACTTAAAAATGGAAGGAGTTTTGGTCTAACAAGAAGATAACGATTTCATCTTTGAAAGAAAACAAAATCCCTTTAAATCCCCATACCGATTGTCCCAAAATATACTTTAAATAAACGAAGCATTCTCATCGGTAAATCCACCTTGTTGAATCAAGCCACAGCTGTGTAATTACTCTTTTGTTGCAAAGGAGCAAAACAACATCTGTAATTATTTATTATAAAAAATAATATTCACAAGTTATAATTCGAATCAAACGCCAAGCAAGCGCAGGTATATACACGGACCTATATAAAGGAAAGACATATTGATTCCAAAGGGTATTCTGAATACAAAATATCCGTGAGATTTAATGTATAGAGGAGGAACTTGTAGAGATCGATAATAACAATTTTACCACAAAATTATCCTCAAAATGAAGCAGCCTGTTTCAACGATTGAAATTTACACATGAAAAATGATTGAGAAATGAAGTCATTTGCTTACATGGAAATTTATGCGTCGTGCACATTACAGTTTAGATAGCTAGGCCTATATCAAACTGTTTCTTGCTTTGTACATGCCGTGTTGATCCAATATGCCTCACCCTTTTACTTTTCATTTTTTTTCTTTTCCAGGAAATGGCTACATCGAAGGCAGTGAACTGGAGTTCTTTTTCAGGGATTTCATCGATATAGTAAGTGACAATTCCTCGTTATTATAATAATATGTCATGTATTTATAAACTATTAATGCGATAACTAAACTTTCTGAAATGGTATAGACCCCAACATGGTACTTAAATAAACAAATATTAGGTCGGTTATGTTGTTTGAAGTGATGTCCCACTTCAAAAGGTCTTGATAAACTCAAAACCTTCAGAATTCCGCAGTGGCTTCACTATGCGTCTGTGACATTTTTATTCATTTCCTATCACATTTATATACCAAAATGATATGAAGAACTCTCAATTGAAGGCTTTTAAGTTGCGTACTGTCCAGAAACGGGTGCATGGGTTCGGAATGTGCCGGAACGAAGTCCGATGTACTCCGAAAAATTGGCGCGCTCGTGCGTATATTACATAGATTAAAATACAAGCTGCGGTCACTCATAACCAGAATGTGGCACATGGGCGTGGCATGAAGAAGGGTTAACAATGTTAAACTGCAGGTTTCTCACATCACTGGTCAGTACAAGCAGCAAGATTGGATGACACCACATAGCATGAATCCCACAATGCATTGCGGTCTGCTTGCGTAATGAGATGACAATAATTGTGCAGAATATATTATTATGTACCCGCTGTTATTGCTTACGATTTTGATATTTACATGGTTGAATGCACACGTAATGCAGATTGTGCCGCATGCATGCATTATTATTCATATAATTTGGCCTACCTGCAAATTTGTGTAAAATAATGATCGATTTGCTAGCACGATGCAAGGTTATTAGTTGTTTTAAAGACACTTGTAGAATTAATAAGAAATATTCATGAACGATATCGCTGTCGTTTATAAGTGGGCTGGCACTGTGTATACCTTGATTTCAGATGTACATAATTATCAGTGGAAAGAACGTGTGCGAAACGTGTCCTATACGGTTCGCACTTTAACATAAGAGGGCGCTGTTTAGCCTAACAGCAGGGGCAAGTGAGGGCGATATCATTTCGCTAGTCCAGGCGAGCTACATTGTGGTCCGGTTACATTTAGGGAATCATGTATTCTGATAGAGTTAGGAGAGTTAGCCTCAACTCGATTGCATTGATGACTAAAAAGGGTGCTGGTTACTACCGGTGCACCTACCTTGTTGTTTCACCCGCCTTACGTACTATAGGGAGTGCCCAACCCTGACATTGAAATTTCTGAAGGGATGGGGGTAATTATGGCCGGAGCCAACAACAGTTAATTCGGGAGCATTTGATCATCAACTAGCCTAGAACCCTGCGCCCACAACATGAGCGCCTATGGCCTTCTTGTTTCCATATGAATTGATGAGATGTAGTTTGCCAAGGAAATTGGGAACCAACCATCCAGGGTTCATTTAAACTATGCAGAATCTTGTTGAATTGAGCACGGTTATGGGGTTTTAATGATATTAATGTGGTGGTGACTACCTCGAAGATAGGTGTGCCCATAATCATGTGATTTGCTGTCATTTTGCCTAAATCCTGCCATGCACACATTTTGGATACCAAATAACGCCAACTCGGCCGTTATGTCAACGAAGAGTATACTTGTTATACTCTATACTCTGTATACCTGGCGACGCATCTTGTGCAATTCACTAATTATCATCGCTGCAGGTGGCCATTATTATGCGGGAAACTTCAACCACTTGTAAAGATCAACGTGGCGTCAGCTTGATTCCAGTGGTCACGGTCAATTTAACGTTACAGCATAATAGACTCGCAATACAATCCACGAGTCCTTTCATCATATGGCGTTATAGTCATACCGCATTACAGCGAGAGTGGAGCCAAGTGTATTACAGTTTTCAATATCGTTGACAGCGGCGAACATCGTAAAGAAAAAAAAAAGAATTCTAGAAACAAGAGAGGTTGACAATATAATAAGTCTGCGTGTATTTATACAAATCACCACACTGCGATCTTTATCATCATTCTTGACATTTCATGATAAATATGACAGCCGGGGAGAGGCGTTGACTGACATATGCAATTTATATCACTCGAGAGAGAATAACCTTGCAATACAGTCCTGTAGTTCGTTACACAGTGTGTGGAAACTAAACCCGACAATGAAATACTCAACTCGTATCAGACATGCGTACCGTTGAAACCACTCGTCCGAATCTGATCGAAATTACAGAAACTCAATAAATTAATTTTTGAACATTTTGTTAGGCCTATAAACTAAAGCAGCAAAATTGTGTATAAATTGAACCTGAAATAAGTCAGTCCACCAAGCAACACTATATCCCTTGTTTTTCGTAGAGTGATTAACAGGTGTTACAATGCTGCCTGAGCTTAACGGTTACAGCCCGATAGTCCGAAGGTTCGATAGTCCGAAGGTTCTTTAGTCCGAAGGGTCATTATTGTCCGAAGTTTTGTTAGTCCGAAGGTGCAATTGTCCGAAGGTTCGATAATCCGAAGTTCCGATAGTCCGAATAGACGATAGGGTTCATTAGTCCGAATCGACAATAAGGTTCGATAGTCCGAATAGATGATAAGGTTCGATAGTCCGAATATACGGAAGGGTTCGATAGTCCGAATTGACAATAAGGTTCGATAGTCCGAATTGAGAATAAGGTTCGATAGTCCGAATGGGCAATACGGTTCGTCAGCTAGTCTGGCACTCAGTCGGACTATCGGACCTTACTGTTGATTCGGACTATCGGACCTTATTGCCGATTCGGACTATCGGACCTTATAGTCGATTCGGACTATCGGACCTTATAGTCTTTTCGGACTGTCAAACCTTATTGTCAATTCGGAATAGCGAACCTTCGGAGTATTGAACCTTATTTTCGTTTCGGACTATTGAACCTCCGGACTGATTAACCTTACTCTAAATTCGGACTATCGAACCTTCGGATAAATGAACCTTCGGATTAATGAACCTTCGGACTATTGCATCAAATGATCGGATTAACGTACCTTATTTCATACTCGGACTAACGAACCCCCTCTTATGAAAATTGGGTGCATTCGGACTATCGGACCTTCGGACTATCGGGCGGCCCCCGAGCTTAACACTAAACCACAGATCAGTCCAGCATTATTGACCATTTTCTACACCGTTCCACCGCCTTCCACAAGGTGTGCGTGAGAGAGTGAAACCTACCTTACCAGAGCCGTGTTTGGACAGCTCAGCATACAATATGAACAAGCACAAAGAGACACGAAGGACTAAAAAACACGAGGCTCACGGACAGAACACCCGCATCCATAAACTGTCCTCTGATGGCTGTGCATTGAAACGCCTAGCATGTAACCCTGGAAACGTGTCGTAACCATGGTGATTTCTCCTCATGCCCAAAGAGTCTCTTGTGTGCAAAGTCGAGGGTCGGGGATTCATACCAGCCGAAATCGGTTTCACGTGAGAACATTGAAACAGGTGGAGTATGTCTCTTGCGCTGAACAAGATCTATGCTGAATTCGTTATGCGCGAACACGGCCTCAAAAAGCGATAACTTTATATGCTCTTTCTCAGCCACTGCCTTTTCATGTGTCGCTTCTTTTCTATTCTTGAGACAAGCTGATACTACTTATGAATATTTCATAGCTCCCACACCCGCGGTGAAATGGAATTTGCCAATTCGATATATTAGCCATGCATGATGTCGTGGCAAGGGATGGCGGCCCATTACTTTTATTGGGTCACCTGCAGCTGAGGCGAGAAAATGCACAATTTCGAGGCCAGCAAAGGTTCCTGGCGGGAAAATCGATGGGGATTTATGCGGCAATAACAAGATGGCGGAACGGTTTCAGGCAATCTTTGAAACTGCAATTTTTTGTCGCGTATATTGCACAACATTACAGACATAACACTTTACAGATTGTCGAAATCACTTGCCCCAGGCAGTGCAGTTATGCAAAAGTTCAACCGTGCTCGGCTCAAGAATTGTTGACCTCTAAATCCTTGTTGTCAGTAACAACTTATCCCCCACCTCCCCGGCCAACAACTTACCACTATCTATTGAACTCATGGATTTAAAGAGTTTCTGAGGAAATTAGCTTCAGTATTTAATAAGGATAAAGTCTCGTATTCGATATCATCGATGCAGCGGTTTAGGATACCTGAGTGATTGTGTGACTCAATCATGCATTTATGAAATTGTAGTATTTTGCAAAAATGGACCAAAACTTCCAGTAACCGTTGGATTTCACCTCCGGCCTCTGTCTCTTTCTATGATAAAATCTGGTAATATCTGCACATGTCCTGTAAATATTTCATGCGGTGGCAGTTTTGTTACTTTCTTATTATCTTGCTGATGAGAATTACGATAGTGGGTAAATGTAATGAACGGACAAACCGACCAACTGTTTGTTTTCTTTGAAGTTTACGGGCAGATGGTGTATTATAGCAGACAAACAAACGATTAGTTTGAAAGACAATTCACTCCACCGTCCAGTTGTAGGGATATTGTGGTAAATCCCCAGTATCATGGACTATTAAGAAATTGCATGCAAGATGCAAGCGGGAGGCTTTGAAATCGTGACTGCCTCAAATGCTAATCTTATGTAGAGTCAGGAGTGTAGACGATGCGTAGGCTGGTTAAAGAAAACGAACCCCATCCCATCTGTAGCGAACCCTTTTGAAGTGCTTTCCATAATCAAACTAAATCCCGGGCTGATGTTGTTTCCTTCTCCTCCGGCTAGTCTGTAGGTCTCAGATAACATCTTTCTCTCTCTTATTTCTCTCTCTCTTTATCATTCTTAATATAAGACGCGTGGGCAAGGAGTCCATGTAAGCGCTGCAAAACCTGAAAATAATGACTTGGGAATAGCATTGCAATAGCTGGCGGCTGAGGGCCTCATCAGACGCTGTTTCAATCTGCCCTGCACCAAACTGCTCAGGATGTATACCATTGCAAAAGAACCGCTTGAAAACCTGAAGCCTGGAGAGGTTGGACGTGTAAAGTGCAGTGTACGCGGTTTTAATTTGATCTGAGAGAAACTCATTTATGCAGCGAAGAAATTTGTTCTCCGAATGGCGGTGGTGCTAGCCACTA